TTCCCCAAGAGGTTGTCTGTACATTAAAGACTTCTGTGCTTACTATTCTGTACATGTGACCGTTACTTCTACCCTCTGCAATTTCGAAAAATGGAGTTTTTACTGTCAGCACGTTAAAATTGGCTTGATAAAAAATTAAAAGAACATATAAAAATGGCGCGGAGATTTGTGCGGCGAGCTGCTTAGAAAGGGGAGGTAAATTATATTGGCGAACTTTGTCCATTTTTTTTTTTTCTTCTTTTTTTTTTAAGCTCGAATGGTTGGTAAATTTGGAGGAGAAATCCAGAAGGGTGTTACATATCTGCTAAACATGCATCCACACACTGAGGTAAAAAAAAAGGTTGTTCGCTGGATTTTATGCGGCCGGATCGGCGCAAACTGGAGCGCGCATATAAGTATACGTATACATAAGTATATACATATGTATATTATATACACATATATTATATGCACATATTTATACATGTACATATTTATTTATCTGTGTTCACGCTTTCCCCTTTATGTGCATACGTGCGTACACTCACCGTGCTAGATGCGGAACTAAACCTTTTCCAACTTGGCTTCACTTATTGGCGAACGATCGCGCATGCGTAATCTGCCGTTTGGTTAGCCTCTTCGCCTCGTTCATACTCTTCCATCGCCCATCAGACTCTTAAAAACAGGAATTAAAAAAGGAAAAAGCGTTTTTTTCTTTCTTTTTTTATTCCTTTTGCGTAAATTATCAAAAAATTATAAAGACATAATTCACCAATTAATTGGAGGCAGTCTCATGCTATTTTTTTTTTTCTTCCCAATTCCAGCTGTCTGCCGTTTGCGACTGTACAGTTGGCTACGCGCGGGCATATTGCATATCCGCAGATATGCTGTGCATATAAACATATTCATATAATATACAATTAATTTACATATAAATATATATATACTTGTGTGTACATATATACGCATACGCGAGCTTCTACGTTTTCCTGTTTCCCCCCCCCTTGAGGATGTAACCCCTCATGCAAACTCGCTTAACCGTTTCCCCTTAAAAGGCTCGATTCGCGAAAAAAACGCGGGAGGCATAGAAGTGGGCATTCCCTTCCTGATCAGTCACAACTTGCTGAGTCACAAGTTGCGCAGCCAATCCCGCACATATACGCAAACACGCATATCATTATAGGCACATATGTAATCATATGCATATGTCATGTTTGTGTGATGCCCCCTATGGGCCTTTTCCTCGTCGCGCTTGTGCGTCCGCTCAAATGTTTACGTGTACATGGGGTCAAATGTGATCAGAACGCCGCCCACTCAATGACGCTCGGACGCCTCCCACGCACATACATGTGAGCCTGTGTTCACGTTGGCATGTACGCAGCACAATTTTGTTATGTACGTATATATACATATGCATTATGTACATACGCATTATTACATCCCATGTACGGGCAAAGTGTCTCTTCGCGAAAAATCTCTTCCGCGTAAAAGCGAAACATTAAGCCATCGCGCAAATCAGCCCTTCAACGCGTTTTCCGTTTCTGCCATTTTGGCATTCCAACCGATTCCTTTTCTTAAAAAGAAAACAATTTACATGCTGTTGAACAAAATTGCCTCCTAACGTGAATTATTTTTTTTCTCTTGCCGAAACATGGCCTTGGGAAGAGCTTTCTTTAAATATACACTTTAGAGTGCATTTCTTTTTCTTTTTATTTAACCCTCTCATTTTGCTTTTACCCTAGCACTTGTTCATATTTACGATTTTTTTTTTTTCTTCCTTTCCTGAGCCATTGTTCTGCCGCAAACGTGTGTATATACATTTGTACATATATTTGCACATATGCGTACAGTACTGGTACATTCCTTTATGCCCATTGCGTAACGCAGTTCTTCGTGCCTCACGTGTTCGATTTTATGGAGACCATCAGTCCGCTTTATTTGTAACCCAGCCTAATTGTTTTATTAACGCGTCGTTCCCCTCGTGAGTCGCATAACTGTTATCCATTGATCGGTCCCCTTCTCCGTAACATACAACGTGGGTTCATTTGCACAATAAAATTACGCGGCATATCGTGGTGATCGCAGCGCAGCGCACATAAAAAGGCACGTCCTGATACATCGTCCCATAAAGGGCCTAGGAACACTTTTCTCTTCCGCATCTCTCCACACCGCAATAACAACTTCTCTACACAAAATGAACGCGGCTGCCATAGAAGTTATCAACAAATTGAAGAAAGAAGATGAGAGCAACAACAAGTGCTTCGACTGTGGGGTCCCCAACCCAGACTGGGTGTCAGTTAACCATGGAGTGATTCTCTGCATTAACTGTTCAGGCGTGCATAGAAGTTTGGGAGTACACATAAGTATAGTGAGGAGCATAAAAATGGACATATTCACAGATGAACAGTTAAAATATTTGGACAAAGGAGGTAATAAAAAATTTCAAACATATTTAGAAAATTATGGGATTAACGATTTTATTCCTGAGAGAAAATATAGAACCAAGGCAGCTGACCATTACAGAAAAATTATGAGATCCATTGTTCATAACTCTGACCCTCCCTCTCCATTATCCCTGGATGAAGGAAAAGACTTAATTAATTTTGTCCAAAATGAAAATATGAATGGGAACGAAATTAACAAGAATAGCAAAAGTAATTCCTATGTAGATGATCAGCAGAATTTCATACCCTCTCTGAACACGTCAGAAATTTTGGATAATGTGTCGGCCACATTCTCCAATTTTCTTAACAAAGCGCAAACCATGACAACGAACACAATAAATAATTTAAATAAAAATGACCTTATCGAAAGTACCAAAGATACACTTATGAATAGTAGTAGCTGGATTACTGAGAAGACAAAAAAAATTGCTGAAAATGTCAGTGATAATCCTTGGTGGGAAAAGGGGCAGAGCAAAATAAAAGACGTGACGCAAAATGCAAGTGGCTGGATTTCAAGCATCTCTTCAACCGTATCCCGAACCAACAGCAATTTCTTCTTTGCCAACAGTGAGTTCGGCGCCACAGGGGGCCCCACTGGCACGGGAAGCGTAAGCACAAATACGACTGCGGAGGGGGGCCAGGGCGCAGCGGCTCCTGAACACATCGCCAGTGCAGCCAACAGTGCTAATAGTGTCAACAATGCCAACGCCGACAGTTTTAGTAAACCCACTTCGGGAGAGAACAATCCCGCGTTCAGCAGAACGGACACCAACAGGAGTCTCAACAAAAACTGATCGCAATGTGGATATTTGTAGATTCTTCACGCACAGAAGCCACAATGCACCATTCTTCGCTGCGCAGCCGTTATAATGATATCCACCCACGCACCGGCGAGCGCACACGTATATGTGTATGTATATATTTCCCCGGGCACCCGAGCTCGTTTCTTACGTTGCATAAGTAGAGGCTCTTCCCATCCATGTGCACATAGAGAAGCCAGGTAGAAAAACTGTACCAATGAGAAGGATAGCCAGGTGGGTAAAAACACGCCCCACCACATAACCCATTCATAGGTCACCTTGTTTTTGTTTTTTTTGTACGCATTCGCAAATTCTTTATGCCTCCAATATTAAACGCAGTAAAAGGTCAGCAAAAACAAATGGACAATTTGTATGGTAGTTCCATATATATGTTACCACGAAATGGAAGAACTCACGCCCCCTTTTTTTTTTCTCTCCCCCTTTTGTAAATTTTTAACATTCTTAAAACGCTCACAATATGATTATATATAACAGTGTTATTTATTTCTTCTATGCACAATTGCGCGGATTTTTTTTTTTTTTCCATTGCTCCTCGCATGAAGCATAAGTTGCGCACCTGACTGATACCTCTGTTGATGGACAAACTGGATATAACTGCATGTGTTTCCCAAACGGGTCCAAAGATTAAGCTTACGAATGTGATGTTTGGGAGATGGAGTTCATCTCGTGTTAATGGAACGAGCAAATCGACTTGAGTTAGAAGTATCACGGAGAGGAGCCCCTACGAGTACCTACACAATGGTGTACATGCTTTTTTTTCGTCAATTTATCCACGCTGCCCTGTTGCACAATGTGCATATCTATATACATATATATGTGTGTGCGTGTGTATGTGCACTTTTTATGTGTATGCCATTTCTAATTACCATTTTGTAAGATGACCAATCCTTATAAAGAAGACCATCTGTGCGTGTAGACCAAACCATTCTGTTTTCTTTTCATTTCTTTTCTTTCCCTTTATTATTTTTTTTTTATGTACCAACTTAGATTTATTTTTTTTCACGAACTTTCGGCATTTTAATTAAATAACTCATGAAAAACTTCTTTTGTGACACTAGCAGATGCGTCCTTCATTGCACCTAAAAGGAAAAAAGAGAAAAAAAAAAGAGATGAGACTGAGATAACAGCGCAAAAGTACAAAATGGCTAAAAAAAAAAAATAGCCAAAATATAGGTGGCAACAACAACTAAGCTGAAAAAATACAGAAAAAAAAGTGCAAAATAGCTAGAAATAAATAAAAAAAAAACCGCTAAAATGCAGGTAAAAATAGCGAGAAAACTGACATAACATCGAAAAAGTACAAAATGGCTAGAAAAAAAAAAAATAGCCAAAATGTAGATGACAACAAGAACTAATCTGAGACAATACAGGGAAAAAATGGAAAATAGCTAGAAAAAAAAAAAACAGCTAGAATATAGGTAAAAATGGACAAATCGAACAAATATCAAAATAAGTGTTAAGTAGGAACGAAATGTAAAAAAGAAAAAAAAAAATTCACAAAGCAATAACAAGTCTTATAAAACAGAAAGAACAAAATAGTTCGGAAAAATAAAAGAAAGGTTAAGGCCAAACAGAATTATGTTCATCTCGTTTGGACGAAAAACCCAAATTACTTCTTTTTGCTCATACAATAAAGCAAAGATTTATGTCAACTTTTTATCCCCACAAAAATTGCATCTTGTTAACATTTCCAAAATTTTTCTACTTTTGTGCTCATCCTCATCGGCATCTTCTGAAAAACGCTGTCACACCTAAAATGGTGCCAAAGTGTGTCTTCTCCATTTACGCCATATCCTGCGCGCTTCTGTTTCTCTCTTGGAACATCGGAGATGTGAACGCTCAACTACCAAAGAGAGGACGTGTAAATGAGCTCATAAGAAGGTTCGAGGTTCAGGGAAGCGAAGACAGACAAAGGAGAGACTCGAATGAAAATAGATCATTCGAAGGAGGTTCACAAGGGATGAGACACCCCTTCAATAGAGGACAAAACACTGCTTTCTATGACGAACCGCAGCCAGGGACATCATACGATCCCTTGCCTAGAAGTGGTGCCCTTCCCACAGATAAGAGATCATTCAGCGTAGACGACTATTCGGAGGATGACTCTGACGAGGATAATGACTTCGATGGTAACCTCGGAAATGACTACCGACGTGACTATCGCAACAATCAGCAGCATCAGCGTGGCAGCTCTCATCAAATGAGGCAAACATACGACCAAGGAGAGGAAGATGACAGAGACTCTATAAGGTATGGCAACCGAGATGGCTACTCGGATGAGGAACCTTCTCGAAGAGAGAAAGGTGGCAGGAGCCCCAATGGTAATCTCAATTTAGGCAAAGATTTCGAAGATTTTAATAAAAGGTTAGGACTCAGCATGGACGATTACATGAGCGATACAGCGGACGATTCGTTGGGCAGCTCACATAGCAGTAGTGATGGTCGAAGTAACGAATCGAATGGATATGATGACAACAGGTTCTCCATTTATGACGACATTCAGTTTGTACCACGAAGAAACAATAGACAGCCAAATGATCATGTGGAACTTTCAAGGACGGATGGAAGACGAAATGCTATACATCAGAGAAGTGACAGTAGTGAAGATGTATCACCCTCCCGTGAAAGTGAAAGAGTGAGGCATCCGAGCAGTGATGAGTATGACTATGCGTATGGAAGGAATGGCTCGAATAGGTCATCACCTCTCAATCTTTATTCTTACCCAGAGGAGGACTCCAGCCGAGGGATACTTCCTCCAACGGGGAACAGAAAATCAATGAGTAGCCCAAGTTTACTCCTACGGGACGATTATAGTAAGCCTTTAGACAATTATACAGATAGTTACGACTCCGGGGAGCACATTTATGAGGCAATCCCCGGAGAGGGGAAATACGAGGATGAAATAAATGGAAGAAGACAGATACGAGAGTCCGGTTCGTTGGATAAGGCTGCACACCTGAATCGTAAAGAAATATTGCCAATCAGAGGGATTAAAAAATCCGCTTCGTCTTATGAGCCAGAGCGCAGAAGAAGTAAGATGAATGATTTTTTCAACAAATTTAGGAAAAGCAAGAACGTGGACCTACCTAAAGGGGGGTCCCGTGGATCCCAAGGCTTTTCTAAAGAAGTGCACACGCAGGAGGTTTCAAAAAATGACAGGCAAGATGCGATGACACCGAGTGCAATCACCCTGCTTAGCAACTACCAGAGGAATTTTTTTCTGCAGAAATATAGCAAACCGTCTGGCAAGGTCGGCGGAAATGTCAATGGAAGTGCCAGTAGTAGCACTGGCGTAAAAGGCCTCTTTTCACGAAGTGGGAAGGAAGATGGGCTGTCTATAACGGGAGAGTTACAAATGGCCGCAAAACAGTGCATAGCCAAAAATACGAGTAAGCTAAGCGGGCTCGTGCTCATGAAGAACTTAGCTTTTAACGATCCAGAACTGGTAAAGAATTATGGATACGCCGTTTCGTCCATTTCGGATAATTGCAAGAATGGCGTCGCTGGCTGTTTGGACATGAGGCCCATGATATATAAGGAAGAAGATCCGGACGCAGTCAGCATAGTCCCTACATTACCTAACATATACATATTGAGTACCTATGAGTATCTACTAACGAATTTGAGAATGTGTGGGTCGTTAAGAACGATGGTAAAGAATAGGGTAAAGGAGAATAAGCTGACCCCGACGGACATCGTCCTTATGCTGTCTAGCGAGTACTTCAAAGGTTCGGTGAACAGAACTTTGGTTAAATACTTGATATCTTTCCTTATGAGGAAGAGGGTAATGGATCTGGAGAAGTATTTCCTCGCGGTTGTTATTTCCTTTACCCCTTTCATCAAGCCCGCACTGAAAATGTACTTTGGTGAGCGTTACGCCAAGTTAAGTACGTATACCCTAGACGCAGAAGTGAACAAAATGATCGGCGAAATGTTGGATGTAGCCCTCCGCTGGACTCAGGCATTTCAAAGGAAGTTCTCAGACGAAAGCAATAGGATTCTCTTGAAGGTGCACAGAAGGTTAGCGGGTTATTCTAAAAGCAGAAATAGGAGGTTGCCCCGGAAATTCAGGACCTTGGAGGCGCTCCTTCTTAGACAGAAGGTGGCCAGCGACGTGGTCAGTAACCAGGACCAAGGGTTCCGGCTCCTAATCCATCAGGTTTTGAAATACGTGCAGAATTTGCCCGTCAGCGTTCTGGAGTAGCGAAGCAGGGGTGAGTGAGGAGAGTGCCTCCGTTACGAGTTCCCTTAGAGTGGGAAAAGGGGAAGCGACCGACCGGGCAGTGTTATAAGGGTAGGTGCGACTAAGCGGCGCTTTGTAGACACTTCCACGCCGCAGGCGTGCATGTTAATATGACCTTCCCTTTTGCCAGTTTTTTTTTTTTTTTAATTTTTTAACAATAATTTAAATAAACTACGTTGCCCCCTTGCGTGGAATTTTTTTTTTAAACCAGCTTTTTTGCAACTGCGAGGATTGCGTTTCGAACGGAAAAAAATGAGAAAGGGGCACGGGTGTATTTTTCAGAGTAAGTCTTCTATGAGGTCGGCGGGCAGCTGATCAAGGAGGACCTGTGTGGAGTGGGTAAAACAGGCGGTGGAGTTGAAGTGGGTGTAGTCGAACCAGGGTTGCTTGAGAGTTCCGGGTATATGGTTGATCTATAAGGTACCTCGTGCCGTAACGCCGCTCATCGGCTGCGCCGTTGCTTCATTCCTCAGCTGCGCTGACTGGACGATTTCTACTTACAATTAGCTCCTCGGGGGGCTTCTTCCTCAGGATGGCCTCGCTGAGGTGTTCCTTGAAATAGTTTTTATGCCTCAAGATTAGGCTAATAATTTTGCCAATGTATTCTTCATTTCCCCTTTCATCTGAGTCGTTATTGAGAGATCGCTTAATCTTTTTCATGTAGCTTCTATTGTTCAAAATTTTCATGGCTTCCTTGAGGCTTATCTTGTCTGGCAGCTGGGCTTCATTTTCTTCAAGCTCTTTATTTAATGTACTTAATGCATTTTCAAAAGGGTCCATATGTTCCATTTTGTTTTTATTTATTTGCCTTTCAAGTACATCATCGACGGGTAGCTTCTTTCCAATGAAGAATTTTTCTTTCTCCATATTTTTCATTCTGTTCAGATATTTTTGTGTGTGTGCATTGCTTGTACTGTACGATGTAGTTGGTTCCCAGTTGGTGGCTGGTACATTTGTGAAGTCTACCCCCCAGGTGTCACTGGTGGTGTCATTTCCATACACACAATTTAGGAGAAAGTCCTTAAAGTCATTCCACAATATAAGTAAATTATTTGCATCGACATTATTTACGTGATTCATGTTTTGCTTTTGCAGAAGGTCTTTATTCAAATTTAGAATTTTCCTCTTTATATTATCTTCAGGTTCCCACAGCCGAATATTTTCCATCGACTTATGAAGTAGGTATTTCAATTCGTTCAGATTTAGCGAGTTCAAAAGGTCACAAGTTATGCTTTTTTTATTTAAAAATTTTCTATTTGCCAGAACTAATAGTTTGATGTCTTCTACTGGCACATGGAAGTCGAAGAGGTAGTACCTAATAAATGGATAGTTATCAAATTTTATCTTGTTCTTTTCACAAATACATATTTGTATTAAGCGATTTTTTAGGCTCTCCTTTGATACGTCTATGGGAAGAAGAAATTTCTTTTTGTATATTTCTTTCTTCAGTTCCTCTGGTGACATTTCTGCGAGGTGTGAAAAATCGAGGGTCTCTCCGTCTTTCTCGCTAATTATTGAATTTAGTCCGTACGCGTTCGCCTCGTCGGTAGTTAGTGCTCCTTGTTTGTGCTCTGTCTCCGCTTCTTCCCTTTTAGGTGCTTTCCTCGCTTCAAGTTCCTCCTCTTCTTCCTTCTCCTCCTTTTTGCTCCGCTCCATCCAACTTTCTAAACCTTCAAAGTTTAAAGTCTCCGCCTGGATGTCACTTGATGGGGTGTCCCACTCGCCTCCACCTCCGCTGAGCTTCATGAGATCCTCTGTGTCATCCGAGCTCTTCGCACCCCCACCAGCGTCCTTCCTCCTTGGGTCATCCGAATAGAAGTCGTTTATGTCCGTTTTCAGTCCGAACATTTTCGAATAAAATAGGGACTCCTCTTTTCGGATGTCGTTTGTCCATTTGGATCGGTCACTTAGGTGTTCGAAGTTCAGTCTGTGTGTCTGTTCCCCAATGGTGCCTTCCTTACACTTATCAGCGCGCACCTTTATAGAAGGCTTCTTTGAAGCACTTCCTCCGTCTTCCCGCTTCCTAAAAATTTCGTCCAGAATTTCCTTCATTTCGTCGTTATAGTGGTTGGTCACCTTTTTTTCGCTCCTCTTATTTTTGTCGTCGCTGTGACTGCTCTCCTCGGTTACCGTGTGTTCCACATTTTCAGTGCCACTGTACGCATCCTGGCCGTCCTCCTCCTGTCCCTCTGCATCACCCACTTCGAGCTTAAAAATTTCATCAAAATTGTCCTCCTCATCATAAAGGTCACCGTTGTCTAAATTTTTTTTTTTTTTTTTTCTTTTCATTTTGTTTCTTCCTTTTGCATTTCCTTTTGGGTTTCTTTTTTCATTCTTCTGTTTTTCCTGAGGTTGTTCCACTTCACCGTTGCTGTTCAAGCCACCCATTGCTCTCACTCCCCCCGGTCTCGTCCATTTTTTCCCCACAAAATTATAATGACCGTGTGTGCTCTTCATCAGGTAGATCTTGCTGGACCTACGGATGGGGCTCTTTCTCTTCTTGGCGCTGCTGTTCAATTGCGATTCGTGATTCTCTGAAGGGGAAAATTCCTCCGTTTTGCAGCTCCGGACGGGGAAATTTCCAGCAGGCATGTCGCCCATTTTTTGGTCATTGTCCATTTTTTCCCCTTTCAAAGCCGTTATCCTTGCCGTGTTGTCTGCCTCTTCAGTTCTGTCTGCTTCCATCACTTCGGATGGATGGTCCCCTTCCGATGGGCCGTTCTTCGCCTCCATGTGTCTAGCTACACCCCCATTCGAAGACATACTCAAAAATCTCTCATTGCATATTTTCATTTTTTCCTCAATGGACTGCCTCCTCAACTTGAGACTCTGAAGCCACCGAATTTTCTCCTCCGTTATGGAGGAGTCAAGGGTGAGGTTAAAAAAAATGAAATTATTTTTTCCATCCCGGGGATGACTTCTGCTATGAGGGATGTCCCGTTTTATAATTTTATCCACGTACACAATCATGTTCATATTTTTTTGTAGTATTAATTCTTTTTCCTCTTGTTCTGGTAAAGGGTCGGTGGGGAGTCCTATATTTATAGTTAGTTTGTTCTTATGTAGTAGAGCCAGGATTTTTATAAATGTATCATTCTTATCCTTTACGTACACATCACAGTCGACGAAAACGCCATAAGGATGCACAGAGGTTATTCTGCCTCTGAGTTTTTTCCCTGTGTATATACTCTTCAGAAGAATGCCTTTCTTGTTGACCTTCTCTCTAAGTTCTTTCGTCTCTTCATCGTTGTCTAGGTCGTCACAAAAAAAGGAATGATACTGGAACTGCTCCTCCGAAGTGGCATGTACACTGGGTGATGTACTATCGCTATCGATACTTCCTCCCTCGGCAAGCGGGTCGACCTTCTCGAGGGCACTGGACACAATCACATTCTTAATGGGGACGTAATTTTTATATGAAGGGGGGTTCTTATAGCCCACGTTAAAGTATTCCTCGTAATGCTCCTCATTAATGTTATACAGCTGTATATATCTGTGCAGTAGAAATTTGAAATTTTTATTTTTCAATGCCAGCAGTTTTTCTTTTTTGTTTGTAAATCTAACGATAACATCCCCGAAGAAATTTCCTTTCTTGTCTTTTATAAAAATTGTGTACTTATCGACAAGTTTGTATGGGTTGAAAAACTGCCTAATTTTAACCGTGTCCACATGAAATGGCATACCCTTACACAGCAGCAAGCAGTTGTACCATTCGGACGTTTTGTCCTCCACAGGTAGGGGAAGAATATTATGTTTGGCGATCTCTTCTCTGTCATAATTTATTCCCACGGATTTCACACGTTCTTTTAGCATCTCCTTATTAATATCATCGATTAGCGATTTATGTATGTCTTTTTTTTTGTAAAAGGATCCATTTTGGGGTCTCACATTTTTCTCATTAAATCTGATTCTTCTTTCTATATCTTTTATTGTGTTCCTCTTGAGAGGGGTAAAGGAATATCTCTTTTTGTTTTTCATCATACTGCTGTTCTGTGCAATCTCGCTATTGGAATCATCTGTTTGTTTAGAGATGGTAACAGCGACACTCCTTTTACAGCTTCTTAACCTCCCTTGGATTTTATAACATTTCCCCTTCCTCTCGTTTCGCAGGGAAAATAGGACCGATAGGATGACAGCGCTGAGCAGAGCTCTCATATAGAAGAGCTCGTGCATGTATAGCTGTTTGGCCAAGTCTCCCTCATATACATAACACACACGCAACACACCTTTTGTAAACGAGAGCTTCTTTCAATATCCACCCCTTCGTTTGTTCCTCCTTCGCTCTCTCTTTCAGTTGGGAAAACAGGCTAGGGGTGAAATTGTGACAACAGGTATCTCACTGAAGCGATTCACATTTTTAACAAGAAAAAAAAACAAGTAAAAGAGCAACTAGGAGAGGCCAAAATGATAAAAAAACAAGAAGAAAAAAGAAAAGGGCGGGAACAACAGGAAGGGGAGAAAGTCAAATTTCCTCTCCCATATTTGTTTAAAAAAAAAGGGAGAAAAAATCATGCCATCTTCGGTTATCTCTTAAAAATACGTAGCTACATTCCACGTTGTAATTTATTTATTATTTTTTTCTTTTTTGCTCCAAAAGGGATTTAAAAAAGAAACCCTTTTAACCGTGGGGTGAACTTCTGCTAAAAAGTAGCTGCTCGTTGTAGCTGAAAATGGTAAATGGGGTAGCTCCCACGCGGCCATGTAAGCGCTAGCCACATGAACGCGCTTGACACTTCGCACGTACCCACACATAGTATGCACCTCGCGTGCGAATGCATAGTTTATTAATCTATTCGAGGGAGTGTTTATCGGGTGAATCTAACTCACCACCCGATATATATGCCTAACGCTTAGCGGACGCACACAACTGTCAGGTCAGGTGCAAAAGCAGAATATCAAATTAGTTAACATTCTAAGAGGTCACGCAATGCTGATCTGGGTCCAATGCTGACCTGAGTGCAATGCTGACCTGAGTGCAATGATGACGTGTATGCTCAGTTGAAGATACTTATGGAAAGCCTTGCTCTCTACCCCAATTGTGCTACAAAAATGTTGTGGCCTTGCTCCCAGCTGCGTAAAGGCTAATTGGGCAATGGGGGCCTTACCTACTTCCACCTCCCCTCCCCAACGATGTTATTGAAATTACATCGCATGGAGCATTCCTACCTCTTTGCCGCATACAAAACGTGTATATGTTGGCTGCACCTTTTTTTTTTCCTTCTTTATACATTTGGCGGGGACACGAGAAGTAAGCTTTTACAAATACCCCCCACCCCATATGATGTGCGGACGGGGGGAACACAATTGGAATATTTACATATATATGCATCCCCCCCGTTCCACTTCGCCTTGTGGTGACATTATTTCTCTATGACATTTTCGCAACAACCATCACGAAGGGATTAAGGGTAAAAGATAGGGTTACATCATTGTCTGGTTTCTTTTCCGTCACCCTTTAACCGTAAACTACAGCAGTTTATACCTCCCATACGATTGGCCCATTCGCACATATGTATATATATGTCATCTTCAACGGAATGGCAATCCAAAATATCCATATCGATGCAAAAAATTGATGCTTAATAAAATTGTTCCTCGAAAAAGGCTTCGTCATCTTTGACGAATACTCTCAATGTAACTTTTAAGAAGTTCACCACTTGAGTGGCGTTTCAAATTGCTACAGAAGGAATGCAAAGCGAGATTCCTTTCTAAAGTTGGGGTGTACAAAATTAGGCTGCAATAAGTTGTACATTTTTTCACTACCACGAAAAATGGTAAAGCTAAAACGACATACGTTTCCAATTATCCTCTACTATATTACAGGGTTAATTAACTACGCGGCTAAGTGGAAACTTCAAATGTTACTACCTCGTCAAAATTCTTGGAAAAGTCAATCAGGGTTAATCTAAAAATACGAACAAATCTATTTCCGATGACCAAAACTATAAAAATATCGCCAAAATAACGAGCGTAAAAAGGTGACAGTTAATTTTTGCAACAAAATATAATACATACGTATTTTTTCAAAATGCACGAAAGATGATGATATTTATTATTTTTCCAATTTTTCTACGTTTTTTCCTATAAAAATTTTGTGCAGAGGAAATTATCACTATATATTGAAAAGAAAGTTTTACCAAATTGTTATTTGGGTGAAGAAAAATTAATCTGATGGAAGAATATTTAAAAGGAATTCTCTTATATTACAGATGTTTAAGAAAAAGGGAGCTTTCGCTATTTTTAAAAAATCTTTTTTCCGAGGTGTTAAGTAATTGGGCCATATATACAAAGTGTAGAAAAAGGATTAAAAAATAAAAAAAGATCCTAACATAGAATTATTTATTTACAAGGGAAAAAATATTTTCCCGATTTTCAGCTTTATTTTAATTTTATAATTTTTTATTTCTGCTTTTTTGGCAATGAACTATGGTGCTGAAAAATAAACACCCCTGTAAAACCCCTTTAAGAATTGATAAAAAATATATAATAAAAAAGAAAGGTAAAGAAAAAAAAGATAGATCTTAATCAGAAGCAGTTTTATTTATTCGCTAAAGGCCGATGCAGTATATGAATTTTATAATCGCTAGAAAAATGATACTTGTACTGCCCATTCTTCTTCGGAGTATTTTTTCTACCTCGGACTGCTACAACGGCAGAAAAATGTCAATATTATTATATATACATTTTTTTTTTGTGTTATATATATATTTTTTTTTTAGCGTGGTTAAGTTCAGCTGGCGACAAACTCCTGATTTTTCGGCCAACGAGGGAAGAATCCCATGGAGGTCAAAATTGATCATCTATGTTTCGGATTTCCAGCAATTTCTTAAGAAGTCGAAGGAAATCGAAATATTTTCATTTATAGAGCCGCGCCTTTTCATCATCACTTTTGATAATCTGTTTATTTATAACAATAAAACATCACAAATACTATAGCAATGATCTTGACTAAGTATTCGTCGACAAAACTTTTTCTTTGACGTCAATTTTCATTAGGTATTATTTTCAACACCGAAAGTGTACCTCTCGTGGCGTACAGCAAATCTTCATAAGAATCTTCGTGAAGAGCTAGCCAAGATGCGGTGGAAAAATAAAAAAAGAAACTTTTACGTCATGGGAAAGGAAATTTCCATTTGGGTCATCCTTCACCCTTTCATTATCATATACCTTTTTAGTCATGTGTTAAAAGTTTCTATACATTTGGTTCAATCATGTGAGAAGCGCATTTTCTTACTTATGGATCAAAAATGCTTATAGTGATCCTCCCAATCCGGTGGATTATTCCCGTGGGACAAAACACAATGGGTAGCTTTTTTTTTTTTTTTTACTCATGGGTTGTGATCCAACGAAAAATGGTTAACCATCCTCCCATTTTTTTATATGAACTATTTATGTCACCTCGGATCAATTCCCTTTTTTACACAAACGGTTTATGAGAAAGAGGACCTCTGTTGGGGGCTGGAAAAGAACAGCTTCTGTTTGTTCATGTATATGATGGGGAAAACAGAAAATTTTTCATTAAGGGGAAAACTCCGCGTGGTTGAACTTACACTGTGGTGAAAAAAAAAAAATTCAACGTGTAACTTGGCGATAAAATCTTCGGCGAATGTGAATCTAAGTCATGCGACAGATATTCTGCATCATCCCGAGTGGCATTGAAAAAGGGCTTTCCTCTGGAAAAGGCCACATATTTCCATCCCACTTTCCTGCTGCGTCTAACAGCTGCGGCATCCTTCATGGATGTTACACTGTTCTACAGTTGAATGCCTTTACGAGGACACGGCTTAACGAACACTCCCGTGATGCGAGTTTTCCAAAAGAATAATAATGGCACCCCATTTTCATTCCTTCTTCACCAACAGGAGCAACCCAAGCATTTCTTTTCCAATATTGTGGGTACACGTTCTTGCAGCAGGAACAATTTTGTAAAGAGCGAAAAAATTGAAGAACAGGGTTAGGAGCATATGCTATATTCTCCATCGTGCTGCCACTTTTTTGTAATAAAAAAGAAAAAAAAACAGCTTATTCTCTTTTTTGTTGCCGCGTCAGTTTTCTTTCCTCTCCAAAAATGGTGTAAATATTGTGCACAACTTATTTTGATGAAATGTTCGATTCTTGCCCGCGCATAGATGCTTAGTATGCTAAGGGCGCTATAAAATCAAATGCTTTTCTATTAAGTAGTCTAGCTAAGCGGGAAGCTGTTGATACTTTTTCCCCTCTTGTAGCAGTTATCAGCTCCTTTGCTTATCAGCTCAGTCATTTATCCGTTCAGTTGTTTCTAATATATTTTTTTTTTCTCGCATTATCGCCGCGATCCTATTCATCCGAAATTAACACCTCTACTTGTCGTGGATCTTCGCCGACATGGCCATTTAGCTGAATAGGAAAGGGGGATGCATATGTACCACGCATGAATACGCATAAATATCCCTTCATGGACGCGCCAATCCACTGCGTTACGCGTGTAAATACGGCCACGTGCTTAACGATCTGGGACTCCCCCCCCCTAAGAGATAACTGCCAGCGCGTAAAAAATGAATGCGGTCAAAGGGAGGCAACCTTCGAGTGCGGCAATAGCGTATTTTAAAAGATTGCCATGAACAAGGGTGGAGCTGAGTACAGGAAATCAGGGCCGCTCGAGTGAACGACCACACAAGCCATGCAACCCACAGGAGCCACGCGAACCGTACGAGGTGAATAACTCCGCGGAAACGTACCCTTGGCTGCTTCACCTGGTGCTCCCCCCTGAAGTGATCGTTTCACAGGGGAGACACTCCCGGAACACGTTCCTCCATGATGCCCAACGGACCATAGAATACAGACACGCAGAACGTGACGAAACGTAACGCAACGCGCGCAGACAACACAAGCAGATATTTAGTCTCAGGCCAAAATGGTGAGGACGCGAAAAAATATCGAAAATATGGAAATTTATGACTACATGAAGGAACTGAGTGAAAAAATATGGACCTATCTTTTTGAAGATTCCCTAGCACATGAGGCAATATTACAATCCCTAAATGAGTTAGAACAAATTATCATCTCAAGGTTGCTGTTCATACAGCAGGTGGTGTCCGAAAGAGCAATGCGCTTGTGGATAAATCCAAACTTTTTAAAAAAATTAAGTGAATGCATAAAAAATTTGGTCGAAGCGAAGATTCTTGTAGAAAGCGAAACGAAAAAGGATAATTACAATCAGTACAAAATAAATGAAAAATTCAGACATACAATGCTGAACAAGATTTATAAAAATAGAGAAGACAAGATTTTTATATTTAATAATAACACGAAGGAACAAATGGAAAAAGAAAAAAATCTGCATGAAAAAAATTTATATCCCACGAAAGAAGAAATTACGAATTATGCACACATGAGGTGGAACAATTTGCTCCATTTTATTGCCTCCCCGAAATTAAGTCATATGAACATTTACATGATTTACAATAATGGCATATCCGTGGAGCAAAAACACGAGGCAGATAACCCTTCTCCTGAAGCCTTCCCAGCCAATCGAAATGACGACAAGGGGGACCCAAGCAGGAATAAAAACGTAGACAAGGCTAACTCTTCCTGTTATACCCCCTCAAGGAAAGGAAGGAAAAAGAATCAGACGGACGATGAGGAGTACCGGCCCGCTGGTTACTTCCAGTACGGGGGAACCTCTCACAGTGGGGGGAATTACGCCGTGGAGAGAGAAGAAGACAACGAGGGGGAGGACGACAATGCCGATGACAATGCAGATGACAACGAGGATTGCAACGACGACGCAGACGATGAGGGGGATACCTCAGACAATGAAGAGAACAATAGGAACGGGGAAAACCAAAACGATACGGAAAAATACGGGAAAGGGCCAAATGAAGACACCAAATATGATCAGTACGGGTACTACTACGAACAGGGTGAATCTGTTGCCCCCCCCCTAAGTGGAACCACACAGAGGCTGAATAGCCATGATGCAAATTCATATTATACCCATCATAGTAGGATAAAGAGGAAGAAGAAAAAGAAGAAGGGAGTTTATGCATACAAGCAAAATGATCTCTATTATAGGAGCTTGCAAAATGTGGAAAATGGCTACGTGGAGGAAGACAATAATGACTACTCGTTTTTCTATTCAAGTTCGAAGAAGGAAGCGCTCCCTTCGTATAGCCCATGCGATAGCCTAATCGAAGTGCTGAAGAGAAAAAACTTCATACTACAAGATGATGCGAATAGCAACAAGGCCGTGAACATGAGTCGAGAAGCCTTCTCATGGTTTCTCAAGGATATACGAAGCAGGATAATTTCCCTGGTCCTGGAATATTTGCTCATAATAGACGATGGCTACGTCACAAACGTCGCACGGGAAATTTCGACCAAATATAAGAAGGAGAATAGTAGCACAAACGCCGGTAGCGGTGGAGGAAGCTCTGAAAAGGGGGAAAGTGGCGAAAGCAATTACGGTGTCTATGCCTCCTATGCGAACCATGCCGCTTACCCAAAACACCACGAAAGTGACGTCTTCTACAACGACCAGATGCAAACAATCCATCCAGAGAAGGGAAAAAAGGATGGAAGCGGAACCCCCTGCTACGTCAGGGAAGAAAAGAAGGACCAAAAGAAGTCAGAACTGTATGTGAAGGAAACACTACTGCTAATCTTATCCATTAGTCAGTGTACCATTAGCCACCCCATATACCTCAACAATTTAACCAAGGCACAGAAGGAATTTATAAATTTTGGCATTCATATTGGTCTTTTTTTAAAGGGCAGTGAGGAATACGTCTTTGTAACTCCCTACGCGCTGCTTCTAACGATTAATAATTTGAATGTACAGAATTACGTGGCTGTCATGAACAGCCTTACACTAGAAGGCGTGTGTGAAAACGCATACAACGAGTATAGCGCGCTTGGCGAAGATGGTGTGGACAATCCTCTCCCCAGCAACAGTAGCAACGTTGGGGACACACGCAGCATAGGCATGGGCAGACATGGCCACTCTGATGGAGGGATGAAAAAGATAAGCGAAAAGTATTTTCACCACTACTCTCTATTACAAGAGGAGAGGAAGAGACACCCCACAAGTGGTACCCATCAAAATATGGACCATGCAAAACTTACACACGAATTAGCTAACCATAATTTATCCGCAGAAAAAAAAATGAATGAAAACAATAACCTCGAAATGGGGTTAATTGTACAGAGCAATTTCAAAGTGTACCTCTACACAAATTCACCATTGAAGATAAATATCTTAAGTCATTTATGTGAATTACAAGCAAGGACCCCCAACATGGTAGTAGGAATTTTGACCAGAAGGAGTGTCCTAAATGCGTACAACTCGGACATCACTGCAAATCAGATTATTAAGTTTCTGGAGTCCTATGCTCACCCGGGAAGAAGCAATTTTAAAAGCTCCATAATACCTGTCAATGTTATCACGCAACTGAAGCTGTGGGAATCGGAAAGACATCGATTAACTCTTGACGATGCCATCGTCTTTAAGTCTTTCGAAAAGGAATTCCTTCCCCCCCTGTATCAGCAAATCGTTGTCTGGGCCAATAGCAAAAATTACCTACTGCATTATACGCCATGGCCCAAAAATGCCAACTCCCCAGAATTCGACGCCTGGATGAAGTCGGAAAAGTACCTCTGCTGCATCTACGAATCGAAGAATGAAATCATCGATAAGATTAAGGAGATTAGGGAGAAGCTCATGAAGAAGCGGCAGAACGGGTAGACCAGCGGGGGACCCGTCAGAAGGAGAGGGGGAAGCAGAAGCAGAAGAAAGGGAAGAAAAAAAAAAGAAGGAAATTTTCTTGACCAATCGGCATGTAACGATATACACATGGGGAAGAAGAGATATTACCTGCGCCCCTTTTTAAAACGCCCCAGAGGGGAAAAAATACAAAATGAACTTCCATTTTGACAGAATTACAACGGGGTGAATATCCAACTTATGTGCACGGAGGAGTGGAAAATGGTGCCATCATCCGCTTGGTTGACCATACGGTGGGCAAAATGCCCCTTTGACAAGGGTGACAACCAAAGGGAAGCATCATGTATGCTTATACTATGGAATATGCCTAGGGGAATGGGAGCCTTACGCATTTCTCTCACGCAGTACGCGGTGTGCATTTTTTTTTTACGTCAACAAAGGCAAATTTGCCGCTACCCTTCGAGGTACCTCCTCCAGCTTGTCTATTTACTGAGGGGCCACACTCTTCAAAAGAAATGGTTATCCCTGTATAGCAGTGCTATTTCTTTTTTTTCCCCCTTCATCCATTTTCAAATGTTGCAATAATTAAACATACATAACGCTCTCTTTATGGGAAACGGGAAGAGACTTCCTTCTCGCGACCCTCATCCATTTTGTTATTAAGAATTCACTCGGTGGCTCGGTTTGCTTTTCATTCCTAATGGATACACCATCCGAGTGTTTCTACCTGCCCGTTTTTGTGACCATTTTTGGGAAATGCACTGGAGGATGAAAAAGCGGGGGGGAGCAGTAGCTGCCCTGCCACCTCACCGCTCAACCATGCATTTGCTTCCCCCTTCGTTCGTACCGCTGTAGCAGCGCTCAGATCGTGTTTTCCTCTTTAGTTATAAAGAGTTTATCAAAAGGGGGGCAATTATCCAAATGGATACATAGTAAATAGAGAGCAGGAGGGGGAAAATTAAAAAGGGATACTCCTCCATTCACGCAACGTGAGTAGATGTACACGCTTTTTTCTAAGCTGGTAAGTCTAACCAGAAAATGCTGTGCACTTATGTGAATTTTCGCCACAAAAATACGCAATAGGGGCAGGAAATGCACCGACCTATAAATTTCCCTCCCCCTCTTTTTTTTTTCTTCTCCAGATTGACTGTTTTTACCATATCTGTTCAACGCGCGAATCGGCATGCGACGAGTTCTTCTCCTTTTTACTCCTTGTCGGGCTCACTGGAATGCCGTTGCTAGGGGGAATGCTTCCCTGCAGCAGGTCTGGTGGTGGAAGGGAAAAAGGGGCAAAAAAAAAAATGATTCACAAATTTGCGCGCATATGGTTCGCAAAAACGACGCACTAATTCCGTGCAGCAGTCAGTGGACCCTCACCCACAGGATCACTTTCCATCACTTTGCATCACTTTGCATCAATTTGCATCACTTCGCATCACTTCGCATCATTTGGCATCACTTCGCATCACTTCGCATTAGTGGCACAAAATGGCATAAAAAAAAAAGGAGGTTACCTTGAAGTGGTCCAACAGGGGAGCAAACTCTACGTGCTTCCCTTGCCATTTAAGTAAAAATCGGAGAAATTTAAAACACCTCGTTAGTTTATTCTTCTTGGGGTCGATGTTGGAATTTTCCAAAAGTCTTTCGTCTACCTTTTCGCCACAGTCCAGGTACATTTCTAAGGCTACAAATATCGGGGAAAAAATGTACACACATATGAATGTTATGTGCAGGGGAGTGGCCCGTATATGTGCACATAACCAAGCTGAGCTTCTCCCAAGAGGAAAGGATAAAATAGATGTAGAGCGTCTACAAAATTTCTTATTCAATCCGATCGCACGACCAGAATGACAACCCACCTGATTGGTAATAATGCAAGTCGCCCTTCTTATGCTCGTTAAAAAATTTTACAAAATCTTCCATATATTGTGTCCTAACTTCTTTTAACAGCTCAATATTGTACGCAGAGTGATTTAATCCCAACAGGTCATTTAGCTTGTTCGTAATTTCTTTTCTTGCTTCCTCGCTCGCACTATCCAAACGGACTGAAAAGTAGAGGTGATAAAAAAGCCATTTTGTTAAAAGCTTGAAGTGGAAAAATCTACTGTCGCGATGAAGTAAAAAGTTTGCGGTAAAACACGCCCCCCCGTTTTTTTTTCCTTTCTTTTCTGCGTCGTCACAGCAAATGGAATAAGAAAAAAAAGGATAAAACGCTTCTCTGTAGAGGAAATATCCTAACCTGTACACAAATAATACGAAATGGCTGGGCCAAATTTATAGTTGTAGTTATGGTGCGGAAATATGGACTTCATCGTTAGAAGGGTGTCGAGCATCTGTCCGTAGTCCTGGTCTGCGTAAAAGGGGTGACACATTAGAAACATGTGCACATGTACGTTTTTCCTCATTTGAGTGGCTAAGAAGTCAGATGTTACGTCATACACAATGTGGAAAGATTGCCCACATGAAGTGGACTCATATAACAAACGACCTCCCCATCTGAATGGGCTATTTTGTATGGTGGCCCTTACCAGGTGATCTCCTCTCAATGTCGAATTTGAGCTTGTAAACAGACAAATCCACATTCGGCTGGGACAGAAACGTTTTCATATATATCATAGCATTTTGCAAGGGATCATCCTTTATATGCTCATAAATATCACTTTCATCCTGCATAGTTACATTAGCTTTAGTCTTTTTTTTACTCTTCTTATTCATATCATTTTTTTTTAATAATCCAGAATCGTGTATATGTAGTAATGCCTTGATTAACGCCTTCCCAAATTTACGATAAAATCGGCAAGAAAATATTTCGCTAGTCAGGTACAGCAGGTGCCTGTATGATCTGTAGAGCAATTTTCTCATGGTGTAATAGTAGAAGCAGATTTGATCCTCGTGGATGTCTAAGAAGTGCTTGTGGCCCATGTGCAGGTAGTGCAGTCCCCTGCTGTAGTCGTTAAATTCGTTTCTCCCTAGCATGTCGTTATCCACCAGGATGCTTCTTCGCAGGTTCAGTTTTGGCTTTTCGCCGCTTGGGTTTCGCTCCTTCACTACGTTTTCCACTTCCGCCTCCTTTCCCACTGCCGCGTGGTATTCCACTCCCGCTTCCTTTTTCACTGCCGCTTCATTTTCCGCCTTCTTCACAGCACCAAAGTCGTACAAACTGTCGGTCCCCAGACTGAGGTACCTCCCCAAGTGGACGTTCGGGTGGTTGTCAAAGTAGCTCTGCGAGATGCTATACTCCAACCAGAAGCACTGCGTCTCGTTAATGTTCTTCAGGAAATTGTTGTCCAGGGGGTTCGTAAAAATGTAGGCCATTTTTCTTGCATCCTTTATCAGTCCACACTTCAAGCAAGTTTTAATCGTCTTCGAATTTATATACCTATCGCCAATGTTTGCTAATCGGCATTCTTCCAGATGCCTGTACGCCTCTAGGTAATTTCCGTTTCGTTTGTAAATTAACCCTTTTATAAAAAGGAGCTCTTGTTTAAGCGACTCGTTCGCTTTGAAGGTAATTTTGTCTGAGCTGTCTTTGAGAAGAGTTAGCGATTCGTTTGGACAGTTTATGTAGTCATACAGCTGAGTAATGAAGGAATGAATGCAGAAGATGAAGTATTCCTTCCTTTCCTCCTCCGTTAGGGTGACTTTTTTTAAGTCAAGTTTTCTTTCTTTCTTTTCTTTCCCCTCATCGGTGCTTTTTTTCCCATTCGCCTTTTCGATTTTTCTCCCATTTTGGTCCTTATTTTCGGCCTTCTGTCCTCCGCCTAGGGGAGTGGCCATTCCAATGATGTTTTTGATTTCTTCCGTCTCGTGTAGGAAGCTGTCCACAGCATTTTTTCTGCTGCTCAATTGGGGGGTCTCTTCCGCTTCACCCCCATTTGGGATTTTTTCCAGGTGAACCTTGTCGTCACCGGTGGGGAGCTCCCCGTTCATCGCCTCGCCATTTAGGTGATCCGTCTCATATCCGTGCACAGGCATGAATTCTCGCTTTTCGGGGGTCTCCTTGGCCCATCCTTGGGTCTCCTTCCCGGGCGATTCTTCACCTTCTTGACCGAGCTCTCCCCCCAAGCAGTCGTGGCACCCTCCCACCTCGGCACAAGCAAGGCCACCACAGTCAAAGGGGGGAATGTCCCCCACGCGCTCATAATTTTCAATATATCTGTGCAGCAAAAAAAGTATTATTTTCACATTTTTGTATGTGAAGAAAGGCCTGAAATAGCTGAAAATGGTTAAGCACTTCTGAAAGCATAAACTGCGGAGTAGCTTTTCCACGTGAAAGGAAAATCTCTTTTCATTGTAAAAGTAGAGGGGAAATATTCTTAACAAATTCGAATGCTTATATTTTTTTTGCAAATTTTTAAAATAATTTTCGAAGCAGTTTTCCTCCTCCTGGTTCAGATTTTTTATTTTGTAAAAGTGGACCATATTCATGCCTTTTTCGAACTTCTTCTTATAGCAGTATGGTAAGTCCACGCCGAGTTTTTCCGACCAGTGGATAATGTTATGCGAGTAGACATCGTCCCCCTTGGTGATGTTGCTCATTTCACCTTGGATACTTTCCCTCATCGATTTGATGTATTCATCGATATTTTTCAAATGTAGGTTTTGTTTAAAATGTTTCTCATCCACCAGATTTACATTAACAAAATTGTTGAATTCAGAAAGGGTGTATACGTCATACTTTTTCATTCCCCAGTTATGACACACATAGTCATTGAGGACGTTTTTCTCCTTCCTGGCTAGCAGCTTCAAATTTCTGTTTGACCCATAAACGTCTAAAATGAATTCGTGTAACAATACCTTGGCATGTTCGTCAACATTGACCTGGTCATCCATCTTATGCTCATTTTTGTAATCGAGGAAGAACAAGCTGGAGAGTGCTCTTCTTCCTTGCTTCGATGCATCGTCTGCCTCTCCACTGCTGCCACTCCCATCAATGCCGCCATTCCCATCAAGCGTGTAACTCCTTTCCGTGTACAAAATCAACAGAAGGATGCTTAAATTCTCATAATTCAGTTCGAAGGCCTTCCTAAAATGTAAATTGGCCTGATCAAAATTCTCCTGAAATAGGTACAACAGCCCGAGCATTTTATTGTACCACAATTTGTCCAACAGCTCTTCCTCGTTTCTTTTTAGTAAGTCTAGGCACGCCCCGTAAAGCTTCCCTTCCAACAGAATTTCACACATGTAGATTATCAAATCGTGTTTTTCACTGGGGGTCAAATCGTTTCCCTTTCTTGGGTCCCGATTATCACTCCTTTTAGGGGCCAAATCCTCCTGAACCTGATTAATTATGAGAGAACATTTTTCATACTGCTTAACCAGATGAAAGGCGAAAATTAAAATGGCCTTATCCCTTACCCCCTTGACGGTATCTTTATATACATCTATCCGAAGATCTTTAAACTGCTCATACCTTCCTAGGTATAGAAGAAGGACACATGCTTCTTTCAAAGCTTTGTAGTCATAACGGTTGAGCTTCAAAGCTTTAAGGTAACATTTCAAAGCTTCATCATTATTTTTGTATATTTTGTAAAGGCATCCATACAAGTACCAGCAGAAACTGCTCGATATATTATTCACTATTCCTTCTTTGATAAGCTTAAAGGCCTCCTCTTTGTTTTTCTCATCCATGAGGTTTAAGAGGTACCCCTTCACTGCCAGGGTCTCTCCATTTTTGGGGTACTTCTTAAGTATCTGCTCGCATATTTTGAATGCCTTTTTGTGCTTCTTCAGTTCTATGAGCTGTGTCATCAGCCGGAAGTTATTCAACTCCTTATTCGTCAGCTTGTTGTTGTCCACTGCGTCCTTCTTCATTGTGCTGCGCCGTGGGAGATCAGTGAGCCCGGTTGCTCTGCCTAACGCTTTTATGTGATTGCCTCCTCACACCGCTTCGCTAGGCTTCTTCCCATACGCTGTTTTCGCTCCAGCTGGGGCAGACGCGGAAGGGGAAATTCAATGGAGGGTCCAGATATGGTATACGCCCGGGAACTACAAACGAAACGGCCAAATATGACCCCCCAATAGGCAGCCACTCCAATTGTGCTGAAGCCTGCACGACGGGCTACTCAACACTCACTTGGGTTCGAAAAAACGATTTACAAAAATGTAGAGTTATACGCGAAGGCATATGTTCGTGTAAGAATAAATATACGTGAAAACTTCTACCCCTCGTGTGACATGGCTGAATCACTCGATCGTCACTAACGATGGTTCTATCTCCTACACGAAAGGCAAACGCAAAGGTATAAAAGCGGCATTCTGGTGTACCGCGATAGAGCTTCTATCTCAAACGTATAACTAAACGTACGCATGTGTAGATGGACTTGGGTGAGGTACCACGACGTCAACACCGCAGATACATGCCGCTGCTCAAAAGGAAAATGTGAATTGGTAACATCCCGGTATTAAACCGAGTGAACGAACATAAGCATCTGCGTCGGTAAGGAAAAGAACAAAGGGGACATATATACCACATTACCAAATAATCTGAAAGGTCCTCTTCTTTTTTTTTTTTTTTTTCTTCAAACACCATGTCGGTAAAAAACAAAATGCACGTGAACCAACTGAACAAAACAATATTTAGGGAAAATTACAAACTTAAAAGAAATGCGTTAGCCCCATTTGATGCCCCCCATATCATGGTATTTTTTATTCTCAATCTTTCCGTTTGTATCTTCTTCCTCTTCTTTTTTTTTTTTTTTTTCTTCAAAATTTTGCTATAGATTAACAATATCTATATTTCGCTAAAATGAACATCTCCTTAAAAGGTATCCCATTTTTTACAAACAATTTTTTAGCTACATATGTGCCGCGTCGCTTCGTTTCGCTTCTCGTTTTTTTTCTCTTTTCCTTGTTCCATCAGGAGAAAAGGCACTCTGTTTTATATAGTTCACCATGGCATTATACTAGTTCCGCGCTTCCCCAAATTTGTGCATACCGAAAGGAAGGCGGCAAAGAGTTGCTCCGTTTGTTCCACCACACTACGGCCTCTGTGTTTGCCCAAATCTGACTCCCTCCCCGGGAAGGCTAAAAAGTTGGCGACCTCGCACTGAGCAAACCATGTCCATAGCGCCCACGTGGATTCTATGATCTATCAAGCTCTATTTTTTCTTTCATTTCAATAAGTAGTGACTAATCCTTCCTGCGCGTAGGATATACAGTGTGGCTACCCTTTAACATTACCCACCCCCCACACATACTACTCCCAGGCTGTACTTTTTTTTGCCATTTTTTTTTTTTTTTTGGTCCCCCGCTACACCCGTATATCATACCTAGCCAATAACACCAAACTGAAGCAAATGGAGGCAATATAAAATGGCGCTTCAAAGAGGAACTTCCCTAAAATGGCTCTCCCCTTTTTCCTACACGCCCTATGAACACATCCCAATTTATAAATAAATGTCCGTATCCAAGCGAGTGAGATTTCTCCCCCCCTTGAAATGTCCTCGAACTCCTTCCCTTTAGCTTCCATCCGAACGGCGTGCTATGTAGTTATGCTAGTCGCTGTTCAGCTCACCACCCCATGTAGAACATACCGGTTGGATGAAAGAAGGCTCTTCCTGGGATATCCCCAAGCTCGGAAGTAATGCAGAGATGCGGCGAATAACGGAACGCTCGTGCAGCATTAGCACTCTCCACATTGGAGTGGCGTCACACATTGCGATGGCGTCATGGTGATGTAGGGGACAAAGCAGACGGACTGTTAAATGTCACTGTTGCTGGCGTGGCATACCAATCAGCACGCATCGGGTTGAAGTGTCTTTTGTTTTTGTTCCTCGTTTCTCCTCACCTTCATGTTGTTACGGCTGTTTTTTCCCCCCCTCTCTGGTACAGGCCCGCTGCCCCCCGAAGGCGTCCCCGCGTAAACATGGTCAGCGAAAAATGTAACTGCAAAGAATTAGACAAGAACTATGACGTTATAGTCATAGGGGGGGGACACAGCGGCTGTGAGGCCAGCCACATAAGTGCAAAATTGAGAGCGAAGACTTTGCTAATAACTCAGTGTAAGGATAGCATCGGCGAAATGTCCTGCAACCCATCCATCGGAGGAATCGGAAAAGGAATTCTGGTCAAAGAAATCGATGCCTTAGGTGGACTCATGGGGAAAGTCATAGATAAAAGTGGCATACATTTTAAAATATTAAATTTAAGAAAAGGCCTGGCTGTTAGGGGACACAGAGCACAAGCGGATAGAGATCTCTATAACTATCACATGAAGGAGCACATGCATGGCACGAAAAATTTGCACATCTTAGAGGGCACAGTTCAGTCCCTCCTAATTGAAAATTGCACAAATGGTTCCTCCGTCAGTGGAAGGCACGTGTACGGAGTGAAAAACAAATGCACGTGTGAATTTTACTCGAATAGTGTGGTCCTCACCACGGGGACGTTTCTGGGAGGCGTGTGCCACATAGGGAAGGAGAAGTACCACGGGGGGAGGATCAAACGGATATCCAGAGGGAGGCAGTGGGAGGGGGTAAATTCCCCTCGAGGGGAAGACTCCACTGGGGTGAAACCCCCCCTACACGAAGCTTCGACAGACAAATGGACACCCCCCCCTAGCGACGGAATTGCCTACACCAGTTATGATAAGATAGAAAAACATAACAGCGCCATTTTTGACCAACTAGTGGAATCATCCACGCAAAGTATTTCTAACCAATTGAGGGAGAACCAGTTTGAGATAAAGAGGATGAAAACGGGAACACCCCCGAGGTTACACATCAGAAGCATTGACTTTACCTGTCTTGAAAGGGAAGATAGTGAAACAGAAAACCCATTTTATTTCTCCTTCCTAAACAGCAACAAGGTTAATAGGAACAAAACATTACCCTGTTACAAAACCTACACAAATGAAAGGACCCACGAATTGGTTAGAACCCATTTGAATGAGCTACCCGATTTCGACTGCTACGATAAGCTGGGCAATGGACCCAGATACTGCCCCTCTATAGCCAAGAAGGTCACAGAATTTGCCGAGAAGAATAAACACATCATCTGGTTAGAGCCCGAAGGATTTCACGACGTACTCATATATCCAAACGGCTTAAGTTCTGCCTTCCCGATAAACACACAGAAAGAGATAGTTAACTCCATCAGAGGGTTAGAAAACGCAGAAATTGTCTTCCCTGCCTACGACGTGGAATATTATTACGTGAACCCTAAGTGTCTGAATTATACATTAGAGTCGAAGAATATCAAGGGTCTCTTTCTCGCTGGACAGATTTGCGGAACAACCGGATATGAGGAAGCAGCCTGTCAGGGAATTGTCGCAGGGATTAATGCAGCAATAGGTGCTCGTACTATCGATGCAGAAACAAAGGAGCAGTTCATTTTGAAAAGAAGTGAAAGCTATATAGGCGTCCTCATTCACGATTTGATAAACAAAGGCATAACGGAGCCTTATAGAATGTTCACTTCCAGGGCTGAGTATAGGCTCTATCTCAGACCAGACAACTGCGACATGAGACTTACCCCCATGGCACACAAGTTGGGTATCGTATCCGACGAGAGGATGTATATACTGAGGCAGAAATATGCCTCCGTAAATAAGCTCATTTCTCTCTTTAAGAAGCTACAGCTGAGTGATGCCCGCGAAGGGGAGAAAACCCCCACCCCAAGTGATTTCTCTGGTACAGATGCAGAGCACTTGTTTTTAAAAAACTCCGTTGAGGCATTCCAGCCTGATGGGAAAAACAACGTCCATCTAGAATTCACCTCTCGAAAGGGAAACATAAATACGTTATATACAATCTTCAGAAGCGGAGTGGAATACCCACTGCATATTTTGCTGACCAAAATACAGCAGGTGCACGACTGGAATGAATTACAGAGCTCACTTCCGCCTGAACAAAACAATGTTGCCATTTATATGGATAAAATGCAACACTGCGGATTTTCGCTTGACCAAAGTGACGACTTCCTTCTGAACTCTGCCACTCTGGAAACTGCCTGTGCAGAGGTTAAATACTCCCCATACTTGACAAAACAGATCAGAGAGATGGACAAAATTAGGGACAGCTTCGACTTGGCCATCCCGCCCGATGTCACCTACGACAGGTAAAGCGGCTTTCACAGCTAATCTGCCCGTATGCCTATTGCGATAACTTCACCCTTAATCTGCCCGTGTTCCCATAACGATACTCTCACCGCCACCCCCGTAGGCTTAACTTCCCCTACTTGTCCAACGAAGAAATTGAAAAACTGAACAAATTCAGACCGCGAACTCTACACGATGCCAACCGAATTGAAGGCGTCACCATGAGCGCCATTTATTATTTGTATTACTACATAAAAGGCGAAAAGAATAGGGTTAAAAGATAGGTTGTCCGTTCCAGGCCGTGGCGTCTGTTGCTTCCTTTCTGTTTGTACAAGCCCCCAGTTTGCGCGCCCCAATCCAGTGTCATTTGTTTCGTTCCATGTGCCATTTTTGCTCCGCCACTTGGCTTCATTTTTTGTGCCATTTGTGCTTCACTTGGCCTCATTTTTTGAGTCATTCTTACTCTACCACTTGGCTCCATTTTTTGTGTCATCTTTGTTGCAGCATTTGGCTCCATCTTTTGTGTCATCTTTGCCTCGCCATTTCGCTTTATGCTACCAGTGGTGCCATTTTCCCCTCCTAATAAGTGGTCACCCTCGGGGACATCTCCACTAACCCACCTGCCGCATGCGTCGCATCCGTGTTGAATTGTTTTTTTCCATCCTTGTTTTGCTATTATGCTTAAATGGGGCTCGTTTTTTTTTTTTCTATTTCCCCCTCCCCCGGTGCATAATAACATCACAAACTATGAAAAAAAAAAGTTACACCTTTATTTTCAAAAAATATATACGCGCGTTAACAGACGCATCAGCATACACAGATACATGTGTATGCTTTGTGCGATTACATTTTAATTCCTGGCACATGGGCGCGTAGGCACGCACGCTTCCACATTACCCATTGCACCTTATGCACATCCGCTTCCGTTCAGGTGTGCGTATGCGTATCACCATTTCGCGTCTTCCTAGCTTCCACTTTCGATCGTACTAATTTTGTGCGCCTGTCCCCTCGCTGAGATTGCCTTTAACCATTCTTTAGCCTCCCTTTAACTTCCCTTTAAACCAGCGGGGAAAAGGGGGGGCAGATTTTGCACGTGCGCAGCAATCACTGCATAGCTACTGCATCATCATGTTACCTCTGCGTGCTCGTCGCGCCGCCTGCACAACTTTTCCCCTCTCCCTCTTCTGCGCAACGGGAAAATTGATACCTAACTCAGTCGTTACCCAACATCGCAAATGCGAACTTTGTACTCACCCCCCTATCTGCACAATTCACCAATTTACAAAAAAAGGTATCACCTGTGAATATTTGATTTTAGTACACACTTGTGTATGCCTTTATCATCTGCTATCAAAAGGGGGCGATAAGCAGCATAGGGGATAAGCAACAGAGGGGATAAGCAACAGAGGGGATAAGCAACAGAGGGGATAAGCAACAGAGGGGAAAAATGCAGGAAAAGAAAGAAATACTTTTCTTTATTTTCCCACCCCAGACAAGCTGCCGAATTACAACAATAGCCCACAGTAATGAGCTGAAAGTAAAAAGAGCCAAATTATTGTGGAACTCAAAATGCGCCATTAAGTGCGTGTAGAAGGAGACGTGAACAGTTCTGTCCGCACGCATTACATGGGCAGGCATTATATAGGCACTCATTCTGTGGGGAGGTAACATTACCTTTTTACGTGAAGTAGTAAAAAGGAAGACGGGACAGGACAAGTAAAGGGATTCCTACCAGTCGTCCCTATAGGACTCTACCGATGCGCCTCAGCCTCGGTAGAGATGGACTCCTTCTCCACCCGCCACACAACGAGGCATACACCAAACATACACCCAACAAATGGATTAACCGAGTCAATATAAGTGTGCCGTAAATTAACTAGCCTTTTTGAAAGGCGTCTTTGCATTAGGCGTGCCCCCTTTTTGAGCCTCTTCCGGGGGGGAAACTTCAAGAGAAGACCCTGCATAGACGCAGGAGCAGGGTAAGGGTGCGAAGCGGTGAGGCGGCGCCAAGGAAAAGGAAAGAGCAGAAAAGGACAAAGGGACGCACCACTAATCTGCCATCCCTTCCCCACCGCTAACCTGTCATCCACTCCACGCCGATCACCATGATGCTCGATAAATTCAAAAACATCGTTAACCTTAACAACAGCGGGGGGGAAAAGGATGAAGCGAAGAACGCGGAGGGGCACGAAAACCCAGAGGCGAGCGCGCCAGTACGGGGGGATACCTCTCTAGAAGGAGCAGAGGATAAAACCTTCTTCGATGAAATGCTAGGAGCGCCACAGTACACATATGAGCAGTTCCTCAAGGTGTTAAAAGCCCCCCAGGAGGAAAGAGGAGATACGGATGATTTGAGAAAACATTGGGGGTACCCCAGGAGGTGGAAAGTCATTCTGTGGGATCTGCAGATCCAGAATTATATGAACAGCGATTTTAATGCTTTTGTCGATTTCGACTTTGGAGGGAACCGCGAGGAGTGTCGCATACAGGTGTGCTTACATGGGCGGTGTGCATATAGAGGCGGTGTGCATATAGAGCTGGTGTGCATATTCCCGTGTCACCTTGTCGGCACAGCCCCCTTTTTTGTCCCCTCGCACATTGCCCTCCCCATTGTGACCCCCCTTTTCCTTACCGCAGAGAGGCTCCAACATGAAAATCTACGCAAAGGGGAAGACGAAGAATTGCCTGCGGACCCATGTTGTCTCCAACGTTGCGGCGGAGCAAAAAAAAGACATGAATTTTAGGAGCGTCTTTGAGTATAGAGGATCGTATCTAGACCTAGAAAATGAAAAACTAAGAATAAAGGTGTGGGAGTATAAACAGCTCACATTAAATAAACTGGAAGGAATATACGAAGAGCCGCTTCTCTCATTTGCAGTAGGACAAATTTATAACGAAACGACGTTATACAAATATATGAAGGATACCCGAGTGAAGCGCTGCCGCCTCTTCTTCCAACTATACTTCCAGGAGCTATACGATTTTGAGTTATCATTTCTGAATTGGTCCTTTAGTGATTTGCTTTCCTACACATACGTACAAGCTAAGAGCTTAAAGTACGTAGAGGACGATCCGGATAAACTAGGGAGACGATTTAACAACAATGGACGGTGTCATTTCTTCCCTAAGGGAGGAACCTGTGTAAAGGTTAAAAGGTTGAATAAAAAAAAGAAGAAAAAAATCGAAAATCAAATCACAGAGCATGGGATCGGCATGAATTCCTCTTTCAATAGTGCCTTGTCGGATGACTCAGAACGAAACAATAAAAATAGTCAACATAAGAACAGCGGTGCCAAATATAAAGAGGATCGCCTGGCAAGAAATTTAGAAAAATTGTTCTTCCGGAATGTCAGTTTGATGCAGAACGTTGAAGAAAACGAACAATTATCCTACAAAAATGTGAATAATGTGGAGTTGCCAAATCCCAGAGTTACCATCACCTTGACGCACACGCCCAAGGGACACGAAGGACTGACTTTGGTCTCCATGGAGCAGAAGGCCATCTGCTTCCCCATTTGGGAGAACCTGGGAGAGATATACTTCCGGGGCACGCTTCGGGACATCGACATGTCCTACTTGAATGTGAGTGTCGCCTAGATGGTGCAATAAAATGGGCGGCTTCCCCGGGAGTTCAGCGAAAATGTGATCGATTGGGCTGCTACCCCGGGGATGCAATGAAAATATGATTGCGCCGATACCACGTGAGTGCCATAAAAACACAACTGATTACTTCCCCCCCCCCCTCTCAGATAAAAGTCGAGGATATGTCCGCGCCCAAGAGCAGCCGAGAAATCGGGACTTGTCAAATTCCGCTCAAAGGAGTCGTGGACTACCCGTACGTCGCACACCAGCTGGAGGCACCCCCCTGGCTTATCGAAGAAGCCAAATACGAGGGCTGGGAGGACAAACTGGAGGAGTGGAAATTCGGCACGGTCGATGGAAAAGTTATAATAGCGAGGGTGCCTCGATACAGACAAATGGGAGATATCTACCACATGGATTGTCGCTATGCCTACCTCATCGTCCACATATTTAACATAGACCAAATAGTAACAGTCGAGAACGTAAAAGAATTGGATACATACGTGGAAGTCTCCTTTGATGAAACCAGCAGGAGAACACGATTCGTAAAGAAAACCCTGTCACCAAACTATGACAGCCAAATATCCATCCCACTACGGTTCAATCATAAGAGTCAAGTGAACTATCAAAATTTTAGCAAAAAGGGACGTATCTATATTGACGTTTGGGGGAAAGCAGACGACATTGTGTACGTGGGAGGCGTATCCATAACTCCATACGAAATATTCTTCAACGAAAAAAATGTGAAAAGAAAAAAGAGCAGATTGGAACACATCGATTTGGAGACTAATGTGAAGACGCCATACGACACAGTGGTTTACAGAGGATGCAAAAAATTGCTCTTCCTCCACGATGACCAAAGAATCTCAAACATACATTTTAGCATATGGACGTATCCAGATATGTTAAGTAACGATGAACATGACCATGTCGTAGCTCCACCTGTGTTTAATACGACCAAAAATTTCCCCTCCAGGTTGGCAGAAAAATACGAGAAACTCAAAGCACTATATTTTCAGGTACTTAAAACGATTAGAGGAATACCAGAAGGATGTACCGACATATATAAGACGAAACGATTTTTTAATTACGAACTGTTAAATCAGAGGAAGGAGAGTCATTTTCTGCCAACCCTAATTACAAGTGTTAAATCTCCCTACGGGGCAGAGTCGACAAATGCTATCTTTCACTACGTTCGATGTATACCCTTTATCCATAAAAAGGACAATATCGCTTTTACACCAGATTTTACACTTCAGCTAAAAGGGGGTAATGCCCTAGACCATAGCCTACTACTGTGTAGTCTCTTCTTAGGCATCCCAGTCATATCCTTTGTCTGCTTTGGAACACTGTGGGATAATCAAAAGCATGCATGGGTATGCACCTTGGAATATAGTGAGGAGAAAAATTATGGAATGATCAAATTTTGGGAAACAACCACAGGAAATGTATACACCTTAAAAAAAAGATTTAGTGATATGAACAAGTTAAAAAGTCTGGAAATAAAATTGAGTGAGTCCAAGTATAAGTCTCACTTACGGAATGGCTTTCTGCAAAAAAATGGAATGACCTCAAATGATGTTGACAAAATAAAGGAAGAGACAAAGAGGCAAATTAAGGAACTCTTTAACAACAGAGTAACTGATATTCCGGTGGGCGGACCATCCGTTCCATACAAAACGATTGATCTCATTTTTAACAATAAAAATATTTTCCTCAATCTTCAAGATCCGAACCCTTTAAATATCTGGTATGACTACTGGAAGGTAGACTTATGGTTTCCCTTCTCTTCCATTGATTACAAGATCCAGCCGTGTTTCACCATAAAGAATTATTCTCACAAGATAGAAGACATGGAATTGGATAGGCTAGCAAAAGAACTTAGGGGTAACATTGAAAAAAATATCAATATTTATAGAGCTTCTCGGAACTTGTCCACTAGATGGAACCGAGATGAGACTTTAGAACTATTTTTGCAAGTCGGGTTGGAGTTACTGCACCAGCTGAACACGTCGCGGAAAGAAGACGCACTGCTAGCCAAACTGAAGATTGAAGACTGGAAAAAAGCCCTCTACTATAAAGTCCCACAGAGCCATAGACTACTCGGATTTCCCTACCATTTTAACACGTGCAAATCCAAGTTCATTTCGGATAAACTCATTAGCACACTTGCTATTTTAGAATCCAGGGATAGATCCCTGTGTCTTTCGCTAGCTGTCTGCTTGTATAGCCTCCCCGGAGACTTTATTTCGGCTTACATTTACATCATTACCTGCGTGAAGATAACGCAGAGGGAGCTGCGCAAGATGGAGATCATCAAGGAGAAGGTGAGCACACACGAGAGTGGTCAAGCGGAGGCTGTGATTCTGAGGCATGGCCCCTCGAGAAAGAGTGTCTTTTTCTTGCTTTTTTGTTGCTTCTTTGTTGCTTTTTTGTTCCTTTTTTGTGTTTTTTTTTTCTTTTCTTTTTCTCCATCTAAAGGGTATTTCCCACGTGTCTATTCTACACACCTCCGATTGGGAAACCAAGATACGATTACAAAAATGCCTCACTCTACACCCTTCTGCTGCCCCTGTACTCTCCTCCAAACTTCGTAGGCACAAAGAAAAGCAGAAATGAAGAACGCCAGAAGAAAACAGAAAGGAACCCTGGTAGATGCTGACGCGCTAGCAGAAATAAACCTTGAGGAGACACTAAAGGAGGATGCTCAGGCCGATGACGTAAATCTGGACATGATGAAGACTCACTCCAATGACGAAACGGCGCGGATAGAATCCACAAAGAACACAGAGAGAGCTTCGAAAAAGAAGAAGCTAAAGAAGTCGGTTGATTTGATCAATCTCTTGCTTGCGGTGAAGAAAGGAGATCGAAAAAATGGAGGAGGGGAAAATGAACAAGAGGACGCACCCATGGGGAAGTCACAGGAAAGTTTAACGCACGTGAAGGAAGGTGATTCCACCAAAAATGGAACCAGAGAAAATGAGCTTGAGACAGATGCGTATCCGCCACGAGAAAAGGAAAGAAAGGATGACCACATGACCGAAGAGGCACCCGAGCGAGACGGCTCAGTGGTTACCCTCAAGGGGAGCATCACAGCTGCTGACTTGACTGATTGGAGGACGGGCAAAAGGGTAGAGACAAAGGAGTTGAAAAGGAAGAAAAAAGAAAAGAGGAGGGATAAGGAGGGCAAATCGGAGCGGAAAAAAGATCGAGAAAAAGAGAGAAGATCGGAGAAGGAAAAAAACCAACTAGAATTCGAAAAGCTAATAAAATCGAACAACTATTTTGAGAAGGAAAAGAAAAAACTGCAAGAGGACATAGAAAAGCTGGAGAGAGAAAAGGAGGAATTCAAGAAACAGAAAATGCTAAGAGAGAAGAAAGAGAAACAGATGCTGCTGGAAGAGAAAATGAAGCTCGAAAAGGAAAAGGAACTCTTCGAGAATGAGAAATTAGAACGGAAGATGTCCTACATGCTGAAAATTAATGAGTGGGAGAAGGAGAAGGAGCGGAAGAGGAAAGACGAGCAGAGGAAGGGGAAAGAGGAGGAACAGAAGAGGAAAGAGGAAGAGCGGAAGAGGAAAAAGAAGAAAAAAAAAAAAAAGGAAGAACTCCGCAGGAAAAGATCAGAGGGGATGAGCAGTCCTGAAGGGGACGAAGAGGCATATCGGGAAGAAAAAAAGGAGATGGAGAGAGAGCGGGAGATGGAAAAAGAGCGAGGGAGAGAGAAAGAGAGACAGCGGGCGCGGGAGAAGGAGAAACAGCAGGAGCGCCAGATGGAGAGACAAATGGACAGAGGGATAAGTAGAGAAATTGGCAGGAAAACGGGGAACGACGTAGAGGCACAGCCCGCCATGCGGGAAAAGTACTCAGACACAAATGACCTTAGCGAGATAAGCATCTTTGACGAGGAATTGGACCTTAACCAGATGTATTCGAAGACGTCAAGTGGGGAGCGAGACCGAGCATTTGTGGCAGCGTCTTTAGAAGCGTCTGTCTCAACGTTTGTCTATGAATGTGCCGCCTTGTGGATACACACATGTTCACTCCCATTGTGTGAAAACGTGTCTATTCCCATCATCCGTCTCCCCCCCCTTTCTTTTCCTTCCCCCTCAGATCTGTACGACTTAAACGAGAAGAAGAAGAAAAAAACAATAAGAGTGTATACAAATAAGAAGGAAATTAGTGGTAAGCTGCCCCCTTCTGCATGCACTTGTATGGTTTTTCGCAACATGAATCAACCGTTTAACCTGTATAAAAAGGGAACTCAAAAGGAGGTACCCTCCTGTGGGAGACAAAGTTAACGCGAAGGAATCAACCCCTGTGAACATGCGTAAGATGACTTAACACAGCACCTTCGGTGTCCTTCCCCCCCTGACGCAGGCTCCACGTCCAACCTCTCGAAAGATATCGATGAGGTGAAGAACAAAGTGGATGAGAACCCCAACATCGCCAGGTACCTATACGGGAAGACCAAAAACAAGGATGCCGGGAAGAGAAATTATAATTACGACGAGCCTCACTATGGGAAAAATATGAACGAAATGACATACACAGAAATGAAGAGGAGTGATTTATTTAAAGGCTTTGCTGATGCTTCATCTGGCAAGGCTAAGAAAAAAGTTGTGCTCGTGAAAAGGAGAGGATAACATCGGGGCACGCAGTCACCAGTCGCCACTCGCCAGTTATATATGTGTAACAGTACGTACAAGGACATTGCAGGGTCAATGGATGGGCGTGATGTCAACCTGGTCGTTTCCCCGCGGGGGTCCCCTTTTTCGCCATCCCATCTTTCACCCAGACATGTTATAACAGCATTGTTGTGCACACCGAAGTTATTTTATTTCTATTTTTTTTTTGACCGGATGGCGTAGTATCTCCTTCACTGTGAGATGTGTCTTCCGTTTTGAATCTCGGCCCATTCGATTCAGCGTGGACACATCATCCGCCTGGACGTCCACTTCCTTCTTACCTTTTTAAATTGGCAAATTGGAGTTCACCATATGTTTATTTTTTCCAACTCTTTTTAAATTCACCTTGTGTTGGCTTTTCATTGATTTTACTTTTTGTTTTTGTTTCCGTTTTTTTTCATTTTTCTCTTTCACTTTATTTCTTTACTTTATTTTTTCTTTTGGCCACGGCTGCTCGTAATTAACAAATGGTTAGTCATTTTTCCCCTTGGTGACTTTGCACAAAAGGGTAATTTTTTTTTTCGTATAATTTTTTTTTTTCCCGATTACTACTTACGATTGGAATGTCCTTTCAGTGTGCCGTTTTTTTGCTTTTTATTTATTCTAAGTGTGAAAAAGCCTATTTTTAATTTTTTTCCCGCCTTTTTTGTTTCTTTTTGGTTTTCTTTTTTTTTGTGTGTGCTTCATGTCGTATAACTTCTCCCTGTCCACCTTTTCAGGTGATCTCTTTTTTAAAATGCCTCTTTTTTCACTCGTGGGGCCGTTTGCCCATTTTAAAAATATTAGGTCTGTTTATTGGGGGAATTTAAGCGAGCGATTTTTCACTCACTCTTTGTTCTACGTATGGTCACAAGAATTAGGCAATTTCTTTTTTTTTTTCTTTTATTACTACTTTGTAAAATGTTAACTGTTCGAAGAAACTGGAGTGAAAAACAGAGTGGACACTTTTTTTTTGTGCTCTCATAAGATGAGAGTTGCTGGTTCGATCACCGTTGCTTACTTACGAGTCGTTCTTTTATATCTTCCCCCTATGGGAGATGCCTCCCCAAATGTTCATTCGCGATAAGCGGTTGAATTGAGCACCACCAATGGGCAATCATATGTCATAAAAATACTTTCGAACCGTTTAACAGGTGATGCAGTCTGTTCATTACTTCTATACAGTAAAAAAAGGTGCAACAAAAGGGAGGCCACCCCCCTTTGCATTGCCTTTTATAGATGACTTTTCCTAACTCGCAAAAGAACGAATAGGTGAAGGATCGCACAGTATTTTGAACATCCCTGCAGTAGCTCGAGAGGCTTAATTGGGGGGGGCAATCAAAAAGGGCCATCCGAAGGTTTGACAATAAATCGTTTACCTGGGGAGACTGTCCCCCGGATGGAAAAGTTCCTTTTGTAGGAGGCAACAAAGTAGAAATAATTCATGGCACAATATGCACGGTAGGGCTGATCCGAACAAATCGGCAAACCGATTATTACATGCATGCAGCATGGGCTCGCTGAAGGTCTATACGATCCCTATTGGATTGGGTCTGAGCCGAATCGATGACAGTCCAAGGAGACCCAAAGGAACACATAATCCTGGCTCGAAATTTCCGAGGTGCGAGGAATGCAAATATACTTCGTTCGAAACGCGGCTAAATTTTTAAATTGAAGGGAGAAAAAAAAGAATAGAATGCCACATAAGAGCACATTCTTAACCACCTCACACGTGTGGCCGCTGACACAGTGACGTCGTAGCAAGCCGAATGGCAACGAAGAGGCGCCGCTGTTTTGATAAACAGTTAGTCGGCATTGGAGCGATCACCCTACCCCAGAAGAGGCATCAAACGAGATAGCCCCCAGAGGAGAGGAAAACAAAAAGAGATAGAAGAAGTGGTAGAGGCGGCAACGGAGCAGCCAGCATAACGCGTGATGGCCAAATGATGAATTCAGTGGCTCAGAAAAAAATAAAATTAACGGATGAAGCCGTAAAGAGTTTTAAAGTGCTGAGGGCGTTCAAGTATAGGCAAGCACTGACGAAGAGCATGTCGTGGAGTTACGATGGAGATCTGTTGTTAACGTCCAATCAGAATGACTCCATAACGCTGTATAGCTTAGTAAAGGGGAATATCGTGAAGTCGCTACATAGTAAAAATTGTGGTGTGGACGTTGTACGTTTTTTAAATAGCACAAATGATGTTATTGTCTGCTCGACGAAATCGAACAATTCGGAGCACAAACAATTCCTCAGGTTTTGGGATATTAAAGAAAATAAATATATCAAATCCCTCCCACAGATAGGAAACATTTGTCAATATAATGGCATCAACATAAATGAAAACAAAAAGTTAATGTTAATCAATTCGGATGATGGACACATAAAGCTATACTATTTTAATTGTGACTCTCCTTTAATTTTATATAAGTCTGATTTTGTAAGACCTGTCTCCTCCTTTGATCACGAAGGAAATATATTTATCGCCTCCTATGGGAAGAAAGAGATTCACTATTACGACCTCCTAATGCTTGATCGTGGGGAGTACCACATTTGCAACTTAAGAAACTGCATGGGAAAAGACGAATTTGTTACAAACCTTTTATTCACTCCCAATAATAAATCTATCATTGTTTCGACTAATCAAAATAACCATTTCAAAATTGACTCCATCACTGGAAATTTTTTATGTTCTTATAAATATCCTCAAAAATCACCTGAAGAGTTCAGCTCTTCTTATTCACCAGCTAGCCATTTGCACACAAGAAAAAAAAAAAAAATTTGTACTAATTCAAGTGCGAATGTGTGTGAGCAATTCCGCGTCACTGGCGGGAGTGGTTTGGAGCCACCCGCGGAAAATTCGTCCAGGAGTCTGTTCCTCCCTACTATAACGCCCGACGGGCAGTACGTCATCAGCGGTAAGGCAGCATCATTTGGCGAGTGGCATATGAGCAGATAGGCACATTTGCAGAATTGTAGAATTAAAGAGTAGCCTAATTGCAGTTGTGTGTATTCCCGCGTGTTCATGAGCGTTATCGCCTGCTTAAACGTAGTATACTCCTCCGCTTTCCCGTTTTCTCCCTCCCCTTCACCCTTCGCGTTCAGGCTGGACAGACAACGGAATTCACATTTGGAATGAAAATGGAACCTACGTGACGACTCTGTATGGTCACGAGGGTAAGCCGGAAGTGTGCATTCTTTTTTTTTTTTTTTTTTACTAATTCTCTCCTCCCCCCCTGTCATCTTGTCACGTGTTCGTATTCGACCCGGAGGGGTGGGCCGTAAGGCAGAGGAATGCGTTTAATAAAGCGGATAAGACTGACAACAGCGATACCATAGCGTCATGACTCTTCTACTGCATCCCCCTTTCGAAATGACATAATTATCGCACTAATAACCCCTTTCCGTTTAGGCCCCCCTTATAATGTGACCTTCAACCCCAAGTGCGCCATCTTGGCCTCAAGTAGGGACGCCGCACTGCGGAAGCGAACCTGTACACATGCCTTAGCAGCTACTTACGGATCATCCTCCGTGTGCACAGCCCTCCTGTAACACAACATTGATAATGACCATTTTGATTTTCCTTTCTTTTTCTTGCAGGCTGCTTGAATGTTGCGCTGTGGCAACCACACATCTGATTTGGACGCCCCTTGAATTTACGTCAACCCCTCGCTGCTTACTAGTTGGCAAAGCGAACCTGCAAGGAGCTCACAAATAAGAAAGTCCCCTTTCTAAATTTGTAAGACCAGAGCAGCATCGCGCGTAACTGCATGGTTTGAGGCAGCGGAAAGGGCGCTATAGACGCTTACGTAGTCAGTTACATATATACACATGCTGGCATGCCCTCTTGTAACCCCCCTTCAGTGGGGAAAAAATTCTCTCATTTGTGCCGCTTAAAAGGTGAAATTTTACTCCCATCTTTTTCGAAGACACAGTTTTAACAACCGCGACATGCCGAGTTGTAATTAAAAATAATTTTGCCTTTAAAAGTTAGCAATAAAATTCTTCAAAAAAAATTATTTTAAAATAAATAGAAAATTTGAATGAGACAAAAAAAAAAAGAATTAATTTTTTTTACCCAAAGTAGCTGTGACGCGGGTTATTCGTCTGCCTTCTTTTTTTTTTTTTTTTTTTTTTTTTTTTTTTGATACGTCCAGGAGTAGGCCGCCCCCGGTTGCCTTAAAAATGTGCATTTGTTGACTGATTATTCGTTCACTAATTGAAGCGGCAATGGATGGCAATGTTTTTACTTCGTCATTTCATTTTCCCCGTAGACCTTTCGCCCTTTTAACCACGCGAGACTGAAACGCTACTGCATGGGTTACCTGTTCCTTCTGCCCCTCCGGAGGTGCTGAACGTCGATGGAGTCCAGGGACGTTGCGCCGTCATGCTGGTCCTCCCGTTTGGCGTCGTCACACTGGGGGGTCACTTCATTCGGGGGTGCACATCCCTCCGTCGCGCCGTCGAGGGGGGGGTCCTCACTGATGACTTTTTCACTTGGCGTGTCCAGACGGATGACCTCCTGGCTGGGCCCCCCCGCGTAGTCGTTGATGAGCCAGTGTATGAACGCCTCTGCCTTCCTGCTGCACAGGGGGTCCTCCTTCACCTGCTCCATCATGTGGGTGATTTCTCGGGTTGCCACCTCAGTGCCAAAGTTAAACATGCAGCTGTCTACCTGGCGGTACAGCTGCTCATTGGATTTCTGCACACACTCGTGAACCTTCCGAAGAAACAACTCGCGGTCATTGTTGAGTAAAAAATAAGCCTCTTCATTCTCGATGTTCTCCTTACAGTATTCATCTTGTAAATAAAAAATATTTCTCATGTAGAGGAATATTAAAGACATGTAATGACTTTTTGGAGTCCACTCATTTAAATGCTTCCCCAAATTTAATTTCCCCGTTTGAAAATTTATAAAAGGATGAAAAACAGAGGACAGAAAAAACACCTCAGGAATTGTATGCGGGTAATCTTCCCCCAATCGGATCTGCGCTTTAAATTTCGCATTTTTATAAACAGTGCTATAGAGGATGATGAAGACATCCCACACTAGTAAATTATCTTCTTGTGGAAGGCAGTAAATTCCCCTTGGCATCTCTTTCACTAGAAAGGAATACTCTGTTAGGATTGAACACTTGCGGACATTTCTGTGGATCTCGCTTAAGTACCCATCTATGATTTCTTGCTCCATTGTGCACTGTGCTAGTAGCTCTGGGTTTAGGGGAATAATCGTCCTTCCCAGTCTCTGCTGGATTAGTACGTACTCCTTCCGATTGAACAGCACACTATCCACCCCCTCAATGTTCGGCATGCTGTCCCCATGGACTTCTTTCATCGAGTCCTCCCCCTCTTCCATCGTGTCCATCATTCCCTCCTTCCCCGCACTGTCCATATTGTCCATGGTTTCCATGTTGTCCATCCTGTTAGCATTCCCCCCATGGGCCTCATCGTCCTCCGCGCTTACCCCTCCATGTCGCCCCTCCCCCTTCACACGACCACTTTCATCGTCTGGATACTTGGGAAAGTAGGCGAACGTCTTTCCAACGAGTAGCTTACTCACCCCCTCTTCCTCTGGGACACGTTCATTGTCGTACCACATGGTTCGCCCAGTTTACGTAACTCCCCTTCTGCGGCTGTGCAAACGGCAGCGCGTCAGACGGCAGAAATTCCACGCGCACGTGTTTTATATATGTACATATTACACACCTGCGGACAGGCAAAGATTACACCCATGTGTGTATTTTTTCTTTTTTTTTTTTTTCCAAATGTTCAGCGTAATTGTTTGCAACACCTGCACGTAAGGCATTCGGGGGAGGGGTAATAAGAAAAAAAATCCGTACCCCTCACAAATAATCACCCTCTTGCCGCGTTCGTTTCCATTCTTCTTTGGAGGTATGAAAGTAAGAAAATTTCCAACGCAGTATAACTGATGCGTGCTGGGGTGGATGGATCACGCCTCGCAAAAGTTGTCTCTACTTTCGGAAGGGGTCAACCAAATGGGCCGCTCAAAAATTGTTGCTCAAATGGAAATGCACTTCAGCATGGCACAGAAGTTAACAAGAGCGTGGCAAAATGTTCAGGCGAACTTTTTTTTTTTTTTTTTATCCATCCATACTTTGCCGGAAATACAGCCAAAAAGTTACGTGCGCATTGGAGCGTAACAGTACAAACGAATTGTCTTCACCATGTAAATTTGGTGGCTCGACTGACTGTACTTTTCCATGGGGAGAAAAAACGTACTAATTAAAAAGCGGACAGAGGGAACAAATTGTTGGAAGGGTGTGTGTCGGGGGCCTTTCACACAAAATTGGAAAGCTGCACTAGAACTGGCTAACGGGCGGAGCAACAATTTAACGTAAGCGCCTAGTTGGTTCTTTCCCCCTCTGTTCCCATCCATGAGCCTTTTAACACCCGTTTGGGCTTGGCCAAAATATCGCATCCACAAAGACACTTCGATGTTACATGCTCCTCAATTTATACACTGCATATTGTGGATACGCTCACAAAATATAAGGAGCGCCTTCCTCATTACCCCCTCACGCTCTTAGCTGTTGGAGAAAAGTTCCCCCATTTTGACAAAAAACGGGAATGCCGCATTTTCCTGCCACTTCTGAAAGGCTAGAAAACATTTAACGTCAAAGCAGTACAACAACCGCGGAATGGACCCACTAAAGAGGTAACAGGTCCCGCGTGTCACAATCCAGACCACTATCACGGATCACGCTGTACTTTTAATTTGGCCCACCTTCATTTATCGATTCCTTCTTTTTCTCCCGGTTTCTTCCCACTTCCCTACCGCTTCCTCCCTACCTCCTTTGCATTTTTCATTCTTTTTTTTTCTTTTTTCAACCTCTTAATATACTTCCATTTGCGCGAGTCTTTAGAACAAACAAAAAAGCTCTATACATGGATCTTATCATTCTATGTAAAAATTCACATCACATTGCATGAGAGTATACATTTGAATGCAACAACGCTGGTGCAGAACAAAAAAGAAAAAAAAAAAAACGGGAAAAAAAAAAAAAACTCCGTGCACCGTATAAGTTTGTCTAAGTATACAGAAAATTGTACAGGCATGTGTGCATATGCTTCCGCGCGTATCTACATAAACTGTATGAATGCGCGTGAAATATGCTCATCCATCCGCATGCACATGATCTGGTATAGCTCTTTTGTTACTACGACTGTTATTGCTGTATCTGCACTTGTAACCGCTGCGGTAATTATCTGGCCAAATTTCTTCTGCGCCGCCCTCTCGGACTAGGCCCCTTTCTTTGTGCTCATGCAAACGAGTCCAAAAAGTGTGCAACATGTGTCATAAATAGATACAGACTTTTGTGACTCCAAAAAGTGCGAAATGTAATTACAAAATTCTGTTTGGCAAGACTGTCAGGTAACGTTTCTTTACTAAAAACGTGTCATATGATGGTTTCCACTTGCAACTCTCTCTCACACTCTCTCTTCTGTTCTTGACATGGAAGCTATCTGCTTTGCTTTTCTTTCTTTTAACATTTCATAGTTGATGGCTCTCTTTTTTAAGGATAAGGCTACAATATGGCTAGGGTTTGGGTTCTTTCCCCCTTATTGTTTTTCTATATGATGTTCCGCTGCTAGTGGCTGTGAGATATGTACATTTTTTTTTTTTTCTCACCGATCTGGATCATTCAATCGTCGACTCCATCTACTCCACAGATCTGTTTGTCAGTCGCGTGTGTCCGTTGTGTTATGCGTGACGATGGTTTTTTAGTATCTTTTTTATTATCTTTTTTATGATTTTTTCTATCTTTTTTTTTTTTTTTTTTTCCAATTTTGCTATTTTTTTCTTTTTTTTCTCACATGTGTCTATATATTAATTATTCATATATATTGGCTTCATAAAAATATGTATAAGAAAAAAATGAACGGGTCGCAGACCTTAAGCGCCATGTATACGTATATGGTCCCCTGCACAAATTCCTTCTCGTATTAAAAAGTCTTTAACGTTATTTCTCTTGTCTCCCTGCAATTGAATAATTGAACCATGCTCGCTATCTTCTATGATTGTTCCATTACAGTTGAATTCCTGAAAATGGGGGGGCAGAAAAAAAAAAAAGAGGGGAATGAGGATACCCTGTAGTCCGTTTGTGGAGCGTGGTTATTCCACATGTCCTCAATCAAGGGGTTTATCACTTGGGCTATCACCTCAACGGTTCTTTAACTTAAGTCGTGAACCCCCCCCGCACGCCTTTCTTTCTTCCTTTCATCCTTATATATATATTTTCCTTTTTTTTTCCCCCTTTTCCCCCATTTTTTTACTGCTTTCACTGCGAATTTACCTTTTTTAAGGCTCGGACCATTTTTTTCAAATCATAGGTTTTTCCTAATCCTTGCACTGTCGTCACGCTCTTTCTACCATTTCTTTGTTGATTTCTGATGTCTGCGTGGGGAAAGAAAAATGAGGGGACGAATGAAGGTGATGTTTTATAAGGCGTTGTATAGTAGAAATGGAAGCACGATAATGTACATAAGTACATCAACATAAATGGCGCAGGCCCCATTGTACACTTCTTTCCACTGCATCGAAGAGGAAAAGTAACGAAGTGCAACGCAGAACAGAAGGGATCGTCAGATTGATACACGACGCAGCACCCGCAGTGACGTCGTCATGAGGTGCACGCAGATAACAGTAGCGCAATTTTTCCACGCACGAGGGTGAGGTGTGGTGGAAATGATCCCGGCAGAGGTGCACTCCCCAATACGCTTAGTACATTTCTATACGACCTTTTCGCGCGCGGGGCAAAATATGCAAAAGTATCAACACGCACAGGTATGAGCACGGTCGGGAGGGTTAATCTCCACATGCGCATTACGCCCATACATTCCGCATTGCGCCTGATAACGAGCCTCTCAAACTTACGTATTAAATTCGTCGTGTTCGGTTTGGCATTCCCCTCATCAACAATATTTTCATTTGTGAAGGGGTCATTAATACCGAGATTCTGTATAGCGAGGTTCATCAAGCTTTATATACGAATTTAACAGAAGGTGGGTTTTTTTAAATGGTAAAATTTAACGACGTAAAAAAAACAAAACTCACGAATGTGGCTCTGTTTTATTTACTGGTACGTATAAATAGGAAGTATATAATATGAAGGTACTTTTTTATGATTTAAAAAGGAGAAGCATAAAAAAAAGAAAGAAACGAGCGTAATATGGCTAACAGCTTGATGGCACAAAAATGGGATATATCTTTATGTAATACAATTGTAAGGCAAAAGGAAAGAAAATTGGTTTGTTCCTTGTATTTGTACGATGGTTTATATACTCAAGTAAAAATAACGCAAAAAGAATAGGATCTGGAAAGTAAAGGTTGACGGCTATATTTATATTTCAATGCTACTGATTATTTAATGGTACTTTATTCGTATATTTTTTTATATAATTGTAAAAAAGGGGTGATGATATATTATTTTATGAATGAAGGTTTCTTTTTCGATTTAAAAAAAAAAAAACTTATTTTTTCAAATGGAATAATTCGCATATAATTTTATCATAAATTTTTCGTTAAACGTTTTGCTTTAATTGGAGTGAATGAATAATATGGGAAGCAATTTTGTCATGGTACTTTTTTTTATCGCAAATATTTATCGCAGTTTTCATGCAATTTTATGCGAACATAAGGAGTGTGAACGAAATTGAATGAAGTTAAACGAAGTTAAAGGAAATTGAACAAAATTGAAACGAAAATTTTCACTTCCGCTTTGTCATTTTGCTTTTTCCATTTATTTGCGCATTTGCAATTTGCTTCAATTTTTTTTTTTTTTTTTTTGTTTCTGAACGCTCATGTGAATTAATTAAGAACTTATTCCATGTCGATGGTCGACAAAAAAAAAAAAAAAAAATTGCAATTTTGCGGCAAATGGCTTCTTCTTATGACATGGCAGAAAAAAATTGGCTTATTTGTGGGTACTGCCGGGTTGATAGGGACCAAATACGCGCATAAAAAAAAATATGTATATATAAATTATATTTTATATATTTATATATAAATTTTCACCTTTGGGTACATATATATAATTTTTCACCTTTGCGTACATATATATAATTTTTCACCTTTGCTGCACTACGAACATATTTTTTGCGAACATGGCCGCCATGCCTTTGCAGTAGCGGCAAGCGCCAAAATGGTCAGAAGCAAAATGTGACAAAACACGGCTGTTGGGAGGTATCACTTCTAAGACGTATTTTTTTCATTTCACCATTTTTTCACCGACAGGCACTGACACTCCCCCTGCTGCGAAAATTTGTACGCTTATTTTTGCATCATATATCTTGCTGCAAAGTGCCAGTGCGCACCCGCGCATGGATGATGTCACACGCGCGATATTGTAACATACATAAAAGACGTAATATGTATAATACGTAATATGTACAATACGTACATATCTATAATACGTAATATGTACAATACATACATATCTATAATACGTAATATGTACCATACATACATATCTATAATACGTACATTTACGCATATGTACATCAGCGCGAAGGCAGATACTGGATGACCGAACGTATGTACACGCCCCGCGCCCGGCATACCTGCCTCTTCTCCGCCATACACACACAAAATAACAGCAGAAAAAGTGCCAAAATTTTCCTTGTTGGGTTCAACCCAGGGGCAACTTCACAAATTTTGTGGAGACGCTTCAACATTAAAGAAGAAGTGTAGACGGAAAACACCAAACGTGGTAAAGAAAAACTTTTCCGTAAAAATATCCATTTTAGCTGTTTCAAAAAAAAAAAAAATGCCACACTTTTGCCATTTTATGCCCTCCAAATGAGGTAGCTTTTTCAAATTTAAAAGAAATTTTGCACAGGTGAGATAAAAATATAACACGTCAAGTGTATACATATGTCCAGGGATATATATGACCAGTTTTGTAACCCTTCGAAGAGGACGCCAAAATGGGTACTCCTCTGTGTAGTTACAAATATGCATGTATGCCAACCCCGTGGGAGGCTCATCATCCAACACGTCGAATGAACTCCCGCTGCATACATCACAGAGCTTCACAGGTAAAACCATTTAAATGATGCCACTAAATGTGTCTGCATGGGAATTCCCTTCTTTTGAGGAAAGTCGCATGCCTAAATTTTAACATATTAAATAACATCCCACATACGCATGCATATATGCCCGCTCGAGATGTCTGCATATGTGTGGGGTCAGCGTGGCGCAGAATTATGCTCCTCTGTTCCCCCCTTCGTCAAAAAATACAAGGTCATATTATCGTTTCGTTCAATCCTAGCAAGGGTAACATACTTTATGTAATAAACTATCCGCTTGTTAATCCTTTTTTTCTTTATTCTCCATTTGTGAAAATGATCCACGAACGTTCCGCTAAGTTACCATTGGGCATTTAGAAACACGTGGTTAGTATCGCTATATGCATTACGAGATGGGTACTACTTTGTGGTGGGTACCCCAGAGGTGTTTCTCTCCTACGTCAGGTAAAAAGCAAAAAAAAAAAGCAGCGTAAATTTTTAAGAACCATATATTTGACTCGAACCGTACGAGTTGATTCTATCCCATTTTGCCAGTTATCGTTTTCATGAGGGCGGGGGGAATTGCAAAAATGAAATAAAGCAGCGCGCATAGTGGTAACAATTAAAGGTGTGGTCTTTCTTTGTTCGATCCCTTTGTGTATTTCAAACGTGTGTACGTTTCTCTACCATCTGTTTTGGGGGAAAAAAAGAAGGCGCGCAAAGGCTCCTGTGATAGTTTATGAGCTTACATAATGGCATGAAAATGTTATTAAAGTATGTTTTTTTCCCTGTCTTTGCCCTTTAATCGCGCAGTGTTGCTGCCGTTCTAACATCTTAAGCGAACGACAGCCTTTTTTTTTTTTTTCCGTTCAGTATGAGCGAGTTGGGGACTTGGGAAAGTTTTTCTCGCGCTACGTTCGTGGCATGCATCCACGGGATGCGCAGTGTGTGTATGCGGCGTGAACTCGTTTGCGCGCCCAGGCATATCCACACACCCCGTCCAAATATAAGCAAGTCACCATATGGGCCAGAAAAAATTTCCATGCTTACAAATCCACATATAAACAAACAAAACGGTTGCAAAACAACACTGCATAGAAAAAGAAAAGAAAAGGAAAAAAATCGATACAAAAGGGATACACTCAATTCATTGTGTAAAAAAATGCAGAACATTCTTGGGACAAATTGCGTAACTTGGTTCACCCTCCGGGGAGGGAAAAAAAAGGGAAATAAAAAAAAAAAAAAAAAAAATTTAATAAAACTTACACCTTCCATTAAATTTTTTTTTCTTTTTCCAAATCTTACACATACGAGGAAACATAACGACTAGTCACAATTCTGAAATTTTTTTGTTGAGCATATAGAATTGCCATACATGCACATCTCAATGTTCCATTTTTTTTAAGTGACGAACTGAACAGAATGTTAATTTTATGGGAAGAATTATGCGACGAGGCCGAGATCTGTCACGCTTGAAAATGAAGAGAATTGTGATTTTTTTTTCATGGATGTTGACTTGAGCAGAATTTCAATAAGCGTATTGCATACGTACATATATGTTTTTTTTTTTTTTCCTTATCTGTTTTTTTCTCCTTTTATTATTTTCCCCTTGTGTCCCCCTCTCGATTTTCCGCCTGCTTTACAACCCTTACCCAGCATTTCCCTAGCGCGTGAAAGTACACATTTGCCTTTTTAAGATGAGATTTTGGTTTGGTAAAAAGAAAAGCAGTTCCGAATGCATCGACAATAAAAAAAAGAACAATGTAAGAATTGCGTAGTTCTCCGTGGCACTTGCCGTTTGGTTCGCCCCATTTTGTTCATTATTGGTGTTATTGCATGCTTATTATTTGTCACTATATGAAATTCTCCTCCACCCCTCCCCATGCTTCCCTTCTCCAGGACGAAATATACAAAGCCATCTTGAAAAATAGAGAAGCGATAGATGCTCTCGAAAAGAAGCAGGTGCAGGTAGAGAAGAAAATTAAGGTAAGCACAAGAAGGAGACCATTCAAATTTACATTGTCGTAGACGCATGAGCCTCTACGGATGCGCATCCGGCGTAGTCGGCGCAATGCACGTTGCTGTTGTGTATTTCGTCCTGTTTGTTTTTGTTTCGTTTTTTTTGCTTTTTTTTTTTTTTTTTTCCTCTTCCCATTCCCCCCCGACGCCGCGCCTCCCCCCGTAGCAACTTGAAATAGAAGCGAAACAGAAAGTGGAGCAAAACCAAATGACCAATGCCAAAATTTTATTAAAGAGAAAAAAATTGTACGAACAGGAAATAGAGAACATTTTAAATAATCGGCTAACCCTGGAAGACAACATGATCAATCTGGAGAACATGCATCTACACAAAATCGCAGTTAACGCCTTGTCTTATGCAGCCAACACGCACAAGAAGCTGAACAACGAAATGTACGTGCGGATGCTTGAGCGGTGCTTCGGCGAATGCTTCGGCGAAGGAACATTGCCGTGAGAGCTACTCAAGTCTAGGCAAAACAAAGCAGAACTCAGAAAGGGAAAAGACACCAACCAGCGCATTACGCAGGAAGAAATTATATTTCCTTTTTTCCCCCTTGCTTATCCCCTTCTTTGTGCAGAAATACTCAGAAGGTGGAGAAGATTATCGACACGATTCAAGAAAATAAGGACATCCAGGAGGAGATAAACCAGGCCCTCACGTTCAACCTGCTAAATAATGTGGACGATGTAATTGGCTATTCGTGCACATTGTGTAGCGTGCAGATATTTTCCACACCGTTGAGAAGTTCTCCATGCGGTTTAATACCTTTTGGCGCCTCTCCTCCTCCCAATTGCTGAACGCCCAACTGACTCATTTCAAAAATTGCTACTCCCGTAGGACGAAATTGACAAGGAGCTTGACCTACTGAAGGAACAAACCATGGAGGAAAAACTTAGTAACCCCCATTTGATGCGTCTTTTGTTAATTTAAGTAGTTTTTTTGATTGTTCAAATTTAACTGTTTTTTTTTTTTTTTTTTTTTTTTCCTCCCACCAGCCGCCAAAGTTAACAAAATACCGGAGGTTCCCCGAGGTACACACGCTAATTTCCTAATCGTTTAGCTTCACGTTTGTTCTAAGCATTTGAACGTCTGGATAGTTATAAAACGTTGTTTCTCAATTTTCACTCCCTACAGATAGCCACCCTGTGCATGTGAAGCCCAGCGAACAGCTAATCGATAAGACCACTGAGGAGGTAAGGGATGAGCTAACCAGCTGTGATACGTTAAAGTGTGAAAACACCTGTGCGCCATATTTCTATTGGATATTGCAAAAATTGGAATTCCCCCCCTATTGGCAGTCGGACGACGAAGAATTGAAGGAGCTAATTGGAGAAATGACATGAGGGAAATGAACAAAGAGGGAAGCATAAAGAGGATGTCGTAAAGAGGAACGTATGAAGCGGAAGAATGGGACAGGTCCGCTCCCAACGGAAGAAGCAGGACAAACGGAGCACAGCGCGACGTACACCCCCGTCGCCCTCCGTTCACGTTCCTACCATCTCGAAATGTTGACACTCGCTCCGATCAGACAGAGTGTGAGTCCCCACGTCATAATTCGCCGCTGCCGCCCCATTCGCGGCCGTGTGTGTACGTATGGTTATTCCTATTTTTACAATTC